GGATTGGCGTTGTGTTTGGTGGCAGCACTATCTTTGGCTTTGCAAGCTTTGTCCGGTACAGTACAGTACTGTAAAGCAGCGAGCGTTGCAGTACTGTTTTTTTTTTTTTTGTGATCGCGAGGCCGCCAACGATGTCAACAGTCAACAGTCACCAGCGGCGTCCGTCCACGAAGAGCACAGTTTGCGCGTGGTTTCATTTTCGATATATCACACGGATTGCATTTTACTGGCGTTTCCGTTTCTCTGCAACTTTCAAATAACGCTGTTGACGAACGGGTGGATGTGCTGGGCAGGCTTTGGAGATCCTCAAGACGGAGCCCAACGCCCTTGAGCTGAAGGCGCCCATCAAGATCGTGGGAGACTTGCACGGGCAGTTCTTTGATCTCATCTCCATGCTTGAAAATTGTGGAACACCTCGTGACGGAGCAAGGTGCGCTTTACTTTACCGTGCTGGTGGCGTGTTGTGTTCTTGCGTACGTAGTCCAATACTATACTAATACTAGTATACTAATTGTGCAACACCTCACATGTTACCTTAGTGCATGCGTTGTCTTGCTGTGGGTGAGACGGTAGTGGGGTGAATTAATTTTTCTTTCTGGGGTTTGGTCTGGTACTGTAGATCGAGGGCAAGAACGAAAGCCTAGTAGTGAAGCTAGATGTACGGTCACTAGGCCTTGACAACACCTACTACGATAGGCAGACAGCACCGGGGTACAGTATTCTGTTTGGGAGGGAGCATGCGACCGTGTCGCCAAATCCCCCTCTGGGTGCAGCACTCTTTATTATACTATTCTCACCCCTCGCCGCTTGCCAACACTCACCCTCACACTCGTTCTCATTCCACCGGACGTGGCAACAGCTATCTGTTCTTGGGAGACTACGTAGATCGCGGGGAGTTTTCTTGCGAGGTGCTGCTGTACCTTCTGGCGCTAAAGGTGGCACACCCGATGAAGGTGCACCTTATCCGCGGCAATCACGAGTGCCGAAGCCTTACCACGCACTTCGGATTCAAGGTAAAGTTAGTTACCTATACCGGTGCATGTGCATATCTCTCTTTTGAATGAGACCATTGTTTTCTATCGCAAGCCCGTAGCCCGTCTCTCCGTGCGGTACGGCGTGACAAAGAAGTACTTGTATCAATTTGGTCCAAATTGCCTTTGAAGTTGAGACGAAACAGCCTGTCCGCACTGCCCCGCTTGTAATTGTACTGCTGTACTCGTGTACTTATCATCGCGTGTTGAGACTGCAAGCAAGAGATCGACGCTGACGATTTGGTCGTGTGTTGTCTACTGGACGATCGTGCGGCCGCACGCTCTACAGGATGAGTGCAAGTCCAAGTACGGGCTGCCGGTCTACTACCGCTTCTTGCGATGTTTCGAGCTCATGCCTCTCTGCGCGGTGATCGCCAACGACCATGGGAGATATTTCTGTACCCACGGTGGCATCTCGCCAGACCTCACGAGCTTGGACCAGATCGCCGCTCTTAACCGCAGGTATCTACAGCTAGCTGTACCGCAGCACACGGAGACGTTGTTTGAAACATATGAACCCGCGAATCGACCTTCTAAAGCTGCCCAACACTTAAGCGCTAGCTCCGGCATTGCTTGGTGTTTCTGGAGATCTCTGCCCGCGCGTTGTAGCACCGTTTGTCAAATGGCTTGGATTGACCCCGTGTGGATCATGTATTCTCCCGCTGCCGTGGTGCATTTATTGTCTTCCTAGTTTTGGGCTAGCACCGCCGAAATCTCACCCACCACGTTCACCAATTCCTTGTTGTTTCCCCTGTCGCCCTCTGTGGTTCGTGGGGGGGGGGGGGGGCTCTGTCTGAACTTCGTTACCGGTGGTGTTGTGGTGCACGATGCATGATGCAAATGCATCAGAGCGGAGCCGGAGATGGAGGGGTTGTTGTGCGATTTGCTCTGGGCGGACCCTTCGGACGATCCTGGAGTCACCAACATCGAGTCGCTCTCCGACCAGGTGAAGAATCAAGAGTCGAAAGTCAAAAGTGGAGAATGAGGAGAAAGAAAAGAAAAAGAAAGTTCTTGCAAAGGGTTCTTGTCATGCGTAGAGGCTCAAACTCGCGACGATTAGTTGCAGTTTTTGTCGCACTCGTGTCGTTCCGGTCTGGTAGATACTGCATACATTTATGCCTCCAACCGGAGGAGGCCTGTCAATTGGAGGTAATTCTCTTGAGGTTGTTGACGCCCTGGTTCATTTTTCGTTCGTTTTGTTCTTTACCTCTCGTCAATTTGGAGATGCTGCCGCTATTGCTCTCCTCTTCTATGGTTTGCGGTATATATCCGGCAATACCGTACATAGCTACTACGGTAATGTGGTAGTTAGATGCTTGGAGCTATGTATTTTGTCGTGGGTTTTGTTTCGGCACGAAAAGAAAAGAGTCAGTCACCAACAGCACTCACTCACTTCGTCACTTTTCAACACAGATTGCATCGCCGTTGGTTGTCTCGAAGGTAGTAGGTTAGGTTACTTGAGACCTATACAAGCCGAAATCGAATCATTAGACTAGTCAGCGTGGTTTGATTTCGGCTTCTATATATGGACCTTCCTTGGGACCTTTGCTGAAACAAAGGAGACGATCCGTGTTACTATACGGCGTTGCGGTTCTCAGGAGCTGGACAGTCTGTTGAACAGCACCTTTCAGTTCAACCGGCTGCGAGGGTGCAGCGTGGCGTTCGGATACCTGGCGGTCAGGAGGTTTCTCGACAATAACCACCTCATGTGTGTTATCCGGGCGCACGCCGTACAAGAGGATGGCTACTACCGACATTTCGAGAAGGCCCTCAAGAAGCGCGAAGTCGGTGAGAGAGATGGGGGGGAGGGAGGGAGGGAGAGAGAGAGAGAGATATATATATAACAACGTAGCAGCGCCCATGCATATGGCAGGGAGAGAGATGCCAAGCACGTGGGGACATTTTGCGGGCGAAATTTTCAAGCGCTGGAGAAGACCAGCTCAACTCAACTTGTAGTGGATCTTTTTTTCTTTTGGGTATGCCGAACAGACAGGAGAAGGTGGATGGATGGGACGCTTGGTTTGCTCTGTCGGAATGAGTGACGTTGAAGTTCAAGTCAGCGATGGGCAGTAAGCGGTCGTATTGGCTGTACAAGCGCTCCCTCTTGCCCTGCTGCTGCTGCTGCTGCTGCTGCTGGATTTCCATCCCAGGCATCATGCCGTCCAAGATGAAATTGCCCGCAAAATGTTGAGAACTCCCAACACAAGCGGGTCATTCACTTCTCGCGAGCCCTTTCGAACGGTTGACGAGCCCTTTCGAATCACGTTCTCCGTTTCCAGTTTGCGTATCCCCCGCACCCCCTGACTCTCGCTGGACTTTGCATGTCGTTCTCTGCAATCGCGGATACGCGCTGCGTGTGCGATCTGGGCTGTTCTTTTTTTTTTCCAGATGGCGACAAGGAGCTTCCTCCTGTCATCACCGTCTTCTCGGCCCCCAACTACTGCGATAGATACGGCAACAGGTGAGAGAAAATGAGATGAAAGGAAAGGGATGGGATGGATCTCCAGTCACGTTTCTTCCTACCAATCACTTACACCAGTACTATTGCACTAGCACTACAGCACTGGATGTGTGCACGACAGCCGCGCCTGTGGGATAAAGTAGCGTTACGCCTCGTGCTCGTTTCGATTTCCTTCCTACCCGGCCCGAAGGAATTCATTTCTCGTCTTTTCTATTTTCCTACGTATTAAGTTTGACAACGCCGCACCCCCGATGATATGTTGACGCTCTAGTATAGCCTTCAAGTCTTGAATCGGGCGATGGCAAATAGGTGTATGCAATCGCTCTGCGCATGCTGGCGCGGTCCAACGTCGCACCGATCCAATGGTCCGGTGCAGTGTGCTATGCCCTTAATACTGTACCGCCGCTTCGTTGCCCGCCCAGCCATACCTTTCCGGTGCTCCTTACAAACACGGTGTACTTGCCATTGTACTCGATGTTGACATGACGCCGTTTTGTTTTGTGGGGTGCAGGGCGGCGGTGCTTGAGCTTCTGTGTGAGGAACTAGAGCCGCAGGTGGAGCACTTCGAGTGTGTCGATCACCCGGACAGGCTCAACCGCCCAGACAGGTTAGTATACATAGGTACATAGGTGCCGTTCATGCCATGTGTGGAACCCCATGCCATCAAATGTCATGACTTGTTTTAGTGTGGTTTTAGTAGAGCAGCCAGAGATGGGAGGGTGTGTCGATGTGTCGATACTTGGGGCGGCGGTACAACAGCCATGCCTCGGTCCGTGTCGTTGTAACCCTAGGCTATGCACATGCCCATGCATATGCATAGGATTTGGTTGACAACAGCAGTCCTTGCTGCGTCTTGCTGTGGTGTGGCACCGAATTGAGACCACGACCTTGCGGGTTATCTTTTTGAAAGTAGAAGACGCCCACATCCCCTATCGATCTACAGTATTGATGTTGCAGTATCGCTAAAGAGCGGCACCGTCTGTGTGTGCTGTTGATTTGTTATTGTTGCCAAGACTGCGGTTTTCTTGTACGGTACGAATGTCATACGAGTAGGTACAGTACTGCTGCGTGCCGTTTGCTCTGATGGTCGAGGAGTACTAGCATTCTGCTTGATGATGTACCTCAGGTAGTTGGATGGCTCAATCCTTCTGTGCCGCTCGCTGCATGCTGGAGGGGTTCTTGGACGTGTTGTAAGCGCTGGTGTTGCTCTGGCTTTGACTTGATGGTTGATTATTTTCCACATTGACATGTTGATATGATGACATGATGACATGATGGCAGGTCTGAGGTGCACCTGACGGCGCTGATCGAGTCTTGCCCCTACATGCCCACCACCTTCCGGGACTTTGTGAAGCTTGCGGGAAGGATGGGGCCGGCACAACCCCTTGAGGTGAACAACGACTGTCAGATACCAGTCATGTCATCAATGTCATCAAGACGAGACGGGGGTGGACGCATGGTCCAGCTATCATCGAACCGACCTATCCATCCATATTGCATATGCAAACCTACTTCCGTGGTGGCGATATGACACTGACTCGCATTGTTACAGCTGTTCTTCTTGATGGCACATGGTTGTTTTTCAGCTTGCGGTATATGCACTTTCTGAGCTCCCCGTATTTTTGAACACCCTCTGGTTTGAAAAGTCTGGTACCGAACGATGTGTCGCCTTTTTTTGTGGGCGTCTTGGTCTCATATGCATAGGACGGCGGTGAGGCTAGCGAATCGAGCAGTGTTGTGGGTACGGGATGCTCCGTCGGAGGTGACATGGCTTCGGAGCACGAGGCATCTACCAAGGGATCTGATCCCTCCAGCCCACCCCAGGTGAACTACAGGAGTACGGGCGAGATAATGTAGTGGAGTGGAGTGGAGTGGAGTGGAGTGGAGGGGCAATGACTGGCATGTCTTAGTCATGTCTGACACGATTACGCATGGCTGGCCGACAATGTCCCAACGATCGCTTGTACCGGGGTCCTATGCATGCTAAGTATGGATGCAAAGAGTTCAGTTGGTTGACAGGACAAGGTCAATAGAGGTCGACGCTCTGTAGACAAACCTGGGGAGTTTGATTGCGGAGGCCTTGTTTTGTTCGAAGAGGAACAGAGACCTTCTGTGCATTTTTCGGTGTGTAGCCATGTGCAATGCACGGCTTTGCGGTCTTCTTTTGGTTCGTTCGTTCGTTCGTTCGTCCGTTCGTCCGTTCGTTCGTCCATCGAGTTTGATGGTTTCCATCTCGTGGTTTTGTTCTTGTTCCTGGTCTTGTTCTGTTCTTGTTCTGTTCTTGTTGTCAGGCGAGAAAGGACCGGAGCTTGACAGCGCATGACCTGTACGAGCTTGAGGCGGCGCACGACAGGTGAGAGCAAGCAGAGTTAGAGACCGTAAGACATATGTAAAGGTTTATTTTTCAGCGTTTCTTCCTGATCGAGTCGCAGTCTTGGTACTGCTGTGTAAGAACGTGCACGGTACACCTGTTCATGCCTTTGATTGATTTCGAGCCCTTGGGGTCTGTTTCGAACCGTGCTCTCAGCACATTTAGCACAAAATAGCGTAAATCTTGGGGCAAGTTGGAAGCAACGACCTCGTAGAGGAGGCATCGGCTAGACGTAGTTTGGTTGAGTGCGTTCGTTCTCTTGCCACTCCACATCACTCCACATGGGTACAGTACAGTACGGTCCGGTGGAGACCAGAACGCAAAGGGACCGGGTCGTAGTCAGTACAAGTTCATGAGGCACAAAAGACAAGAGACTGCCATCTAACCCTGTGACAGCCAACGTTTGGTTTGACTTGCGATGCCGAGGAATAAAACTTTAGCTTGGCTCGACTCGAACATATTAGACATTCGACGCAAACGAAACCAGCCAACCAAACCCCTTGACTCTCTTTGACTTCCTTGACTTGACTTGACTTGACTTGACTTGACTTGACTTGACTCCCAGGATCAACGAGTTGCACCCCGACTACCTAAACGCTCGTATCGAGTCGTGCGAGGACGAGGGTGTCAGTAGGCTCAGCACCAAGGCCAACACGCCCTCCAGCGTGAGCTCGCTCGTTCACTCCACCACTAAGATCACGGTGAGGACTGGGCTGGCTGGGCTGGGCTGGACTGGGGGAAGGGGGAGTGACTCTGCATCCCCGGGCCTGTGGTGGAAAGGCTAACTGTAGACTTTTATCCTTGCGCTTTTCTTGTATCCGCTCGATGCGATACGACCAGAACGAACGTTGCCTATCCCCTATCCCCTTTCTCAGAGCAGGAGTGCTATTACAGATAGCTCTCATGCGGTTTCGGTGTTGCTCCCACGCCCTGGTCTATCCTGGTGTTGAGTTGACTTGATGGCGTCATGCGAGACCAACCTTTCTATGACTTCCTTGTTGTGTGTTTTGCGTGTGGTGCACTCGCTATCGAGTGTCATCGGCGTATTCTGTATTTTGATGTGTGTGACACGTGTCGCGTCATGTGATTGATACCTATGCCTTACTTGTCTTACTTGTGGACAGGTGAGTGAGCTTCGAAACAGGTTCGATCCCGCGGCGAGGGGTGGGCCTGGAGCGGGACACGCGGCGCCTCTCCCGGTTGACATGGGAAAGCCCAGCAGCACCGTGATGCAGATCACCAACATCTTCGAACACAAGGCTCGGGCAGAGAGGCGAAAGGTGAGACCTGACACAGACAGATGGATGGATTGGTGAATGGACTCATGGACAGGAGGGAGAGCAACGGTAGCACGTCGTCTCATGGTGATGTGGCGTTGGTTAGACGATTGCAACTGCAACCCGATCTCGCCATCTCAAGCAAACATTTACGTAGGATGATGATCCATCGGCTTATTTCGCTGCCTTCCCGGTGGGCGGTTTGGTAGGGTGACTGAGTGACCCGTGATCTTGTTGGTGTTGGTGTTGGTTGTCTTGATGTGTATCGGTCCCCTTTTTTGTTTGAAGACACTTGCGATACTACATTGTTCCAGGCTCGTGGAACACACTCGCCGTGGAATTTTTCCGGGCATCATCACTCGATTTTCCTTATTTGACATAGAACAAACACTACCACTACCGCCAGATTCACCCCCGAGCGTGTGCATGGACTAGTTAGCCAATTAGTGTTTGAAGCAGCCTAAGTCATCGGATCGACACTGGCGGTTGGGGGTCGTGCCAGAGCGCTCATGTATGCATCATGCATACAGCCAGCAAGTCGGGTGGTCCAAATTAGTTCGTGATGCACCACGTGCGAGTTTGCTGGCCCTGCTGTTTGTTTCACTTGGCCCTTCTTGGTTCTGTTTTCGTTGCCGTTGCTGTCGCACCGCCAGTTGCACGTTCGAAACGGCAGTGGTTCAGGGGGCATCGTGTCTCAGATGAAGGCATCGATCGAGTCCAAAGCAAAGGCGAAGGCGGCCACGGGCAGCCCTAGCACGGCCGGCGCGCCAAACAGTACCAAGCAAAAGATCAACGTGAGTGTGTTGAATTTAGCTAGATGATGAAATTAATTGGGCAAGTACGTGACACAAGGTATCGACCTGGAAGTCGATCAGGTCTATTGCCTGGATTGGATTGGATCACTTTGATCACCGAGCTCTTAGACCTGCTGCAGGCAGGCATGGCGAATAGTCACGTTGGCGTTGATGCGTAGGTGTGCGTCGATTTTTTTGTTGTTGAATGCACATGCCCCACGCATGAAAATGCCGTGACCGCGTGGCACAAGCACGAGCTGAACCTACCCTCCATAGCTAGGACAACAGCATGGGTTGTGGAGTTGGATGTCTCACCCACCGACGCATGGTCAAGGTCACAGTAATGATCATGGCTATGGTTGCCTGTCATCATCTTAACGCTAACGCCGGGTGTGGAATGTTACGGGCGTGGCTTTGTTGTACTTCATGTATTGCAAATACCGTTCATGCAGGTGTTCGAAGCACTCACGAAGCGGACTCGCAGCGATACGGTGGCCTCCAAGCTGACGAGGGTAAAGGACTCCGCTCTCGCCCGCCGCATCTGGGTGGACAAGGTGCTCGGTCGGTCGTCTTGCTTGATGTCTTGATGCTTGACCTTAGGGCTAGGGTTTTGGTACAGCAGCAAGCAGTTCAGCGGAGAACACAATGCCGTGTCATACCGGTATCGCTGACAACCACCGCCGCAGCTATACATACAATTCCACGAGAACACTCCGGCGCAAAATGTGCCTCCTATGCACGCGATTCACGGCACACGACAACGCACGGATAGTGACTACATACTATCCTTCTTTCCTTCTTTCCTTCTTTCCTTACCTGCCGTAGGTGGCCGGATCGCCCCCTCCCATGTGGGGCGGGAAGGCCCCCCCGGGCCGAGTGTTCGGAAGGGACGACAAAAAGGGTGGAGGGATAGGCAAGGGAGGCGATGGCACCGGTCACATTCACATCGCGGCCCGTGGGGCGCCTTGGGTGGGACAGAGCAGGTCCAACAGCGGCGGCAAGAAGACGTCCATCGTGTCGCCGAGAAGGCATTCTTCCAACACCTCCGCCTCAAACAACGGAAAGTTCCCGCCGCCTCCCCCCCCGGGCTTGGCGCAATCAGGTCCGTCCGTCGGTTGGTTTGTTGTATTTTTTGTTTGTTTTTGTCTTGATTCTGGTTTGGCGTTTTACGGCGAATGAGTCCAACATCCGACATGTCCTGGTCGCTTGGTGATGTGTATTGCTCTGTGCACACGACGCGATCTTGGTGACATGCCATTTTTGCAAGGCAATGAAGGTACCGTGCAAGGTGTTGCCGGTGCTGTCTAAGGGGGTGTGCAGCAGGTCCATGTTTATGTTGCCCGCGATGGTATTGAGGCTGCAAGCTATGCATACGAAGTATAAGTGCACGGTATAACAGGTGTTTTCCTTGCTGCTCTCGTTGTGTTGTGCTGTATGCTCGAAAGAAAGACTTGGTGCAACATCACTTTTCGTGACGAATCTGTTGCGTGCTTCGTGCGCCCTCCGCAGATGGGCTGCGACGTATATGCATATATGCTAAATACTGGTAGATAGGTAGATAGCTGACAAACGTGGTCTTGGTCCATTATGGCCACTCTGCGTATCTCCATCCACCAAGTGGTGCATGATGCCATCAACACGGTACACAGCAGTACACAAAACTCACCTTTGGTTGCTGGTGTTTTGCGCCCGTCCCCTGTGGGGTTTGCGTTGAACGAACGTTGAACGAACGTCGCAGGCGATGTTGGTGTTCGTCGCGGCGTTGGCAAGCTCGGGAAGTCGTCTGCGCCATGGCACTCGACCTCTCTCCAGGGCAAGAGCGACGATGACGACGATGCATCATCGCCTCAGCAGGGCCGGCGACGATCAACCCTGGGTGGCGAGGCTGACGGAGAGGTATGAAGACTAGAAATATTGACCGACTGGCCTAGTCGTGTGTCATGAATTATTACATTATTATCAGATTTGCTCTTGTCCCTAGACGCCAGTCATCGTGCGGCTCGTTTTTCCGTACGCTGTGTTGTAGTACAAGGAAGCACGTCATGTTAATGTTCTAGGACAAGGAAGCATGAAGAAGTGGGGATCCCCTCCCCCCGAAATCCGGTGCTAGACTACTTCGTAAGTATATACTTCTTTTGTCTCGAGGCGATACAATACCTGTGATACCTATGATACCTTTGTTTCGAGATGGCGGGACGTGGTCACGAAGTGAGCCCTTAGGCTAGGCTAGGCAGCTATCGCCCACGCCGCGTTGACGTTGCATCCATCTGTACGCTGACACTTGCTCTACGCTCACGCTGTACCCGTTTTATTTTCACTCACACTCCACTGGCGATGCTCGTATTAATGATTCATGATGCTCCTCAGCAAGCGGCGTCTGGAGGCTCTGCGATGATTGATTCCAGGTACAGTATTGTATGCGTATCTCTCAACTTGCCCAGCACAGCTAACCGTGTGGTCGTCTATATGTATGTAGTACATTTTTTATCCGAGCGAATGGGCTATTGGCTCACTATTAGAGGATGCAAGTTGGTACAATGCAGCGTGGTGTGGCTTTACCCGGCGCCATGCCACTGGCACTACCGGCTGCTAGTTTCTCAATATCGTAGTTCACAGAAAATGTTGTGTGTTTGAGGCAGGAAGAGACGTGATTTGTGATGTAGCACGCGGTGTAGCCTAGCCCCCTCGCAGACGCCTACAAGTATACACATGCATATGGTGGCTCCGCGTGACTGCGTTACTGGACTGGAGATACGTCACGCGTGGTTGTGGACTTTCCGTGACAGCAGAAGCCAGCTGCAAGTGTTTGTTTCACCAAACGTCGCTTACGAAACCGGAGGGTTGGATCGGAGGGAATAAAAAAAGAGAGACGTACTGTAGCGACTGACTCATGTGATGTTCCTTGTAAGGTCGTGCGAGGAAGAGAAGAGAATAAAAGAGAAGAGAAGAGAAGAGAAGAGAAGAGAAGAGAAGAGAAGAGAGGGGGTTGCTGTGTCATGTTGTTTGTTTTCGCCACCTCACGACGGTGGGTGCTCTGGGGGTTTTCCTGCCTGAACAGCATCGTACATTTCGTTCCGAATTATTAAATGATCGAATCTGCGGCGGGTTCGATGCGTTCTGACTCCGATTATGTGGGTGTGGCGTGTTTGTCTCTGCCGGTTGCGACGTTGTGACCGTCTAGATCAACGACGACGACTTTGCCCCAAGAAGCCGGCTCGAGCGCCACGGCGCCATCGGCATCCTTGGAACAGACCTCGGACAACGAGAAAGGCGTGCAAGGCGTGGGCTATGATTATGATGGCCACGACAAGGAGAAGGAGAAGAATATTCCCTCGCCGCCCACTCTCACTCGAAGGGGCACTCTTGCGGTGAGATGAGTCACATGAGTTGGGTCACATTTTCTTCCTCGAGGAGATAGATGGATAGATAGATAGGGATAGGGATAGATCAGACCGCGTGCAGTTGCTATATTAGGGCAGGTTTGCCTCATGCAGGTTTATTGTAGTAGTATTTGATCGAGCTGGCTCTGCCTGCGTCTGTATCTGTTCTCTCCCTGTCTCATGAGAGTTTTCCGAAACATGTCAGATTGGAAATGTTACTATACTATATTACTATATTACTGGTTTGGTCTTGGCTGTTGTTCGACACACCTCTGTTGTACTGTACCTCTATCGTAGGGATCGCGTTGGTGGTTTACCTGTACCATTTTGCCATACCATGTACCATTATACTTCGTACCATTATACTATGCCGAACTTGAAAGCTTTCATGGGGCGAACGACACGGCAAGGTGTACCCTGGTCGAAAAGCGACTCAGCCGGGCATAAACATTTTGACAGCGTCAAACGAGCCCAGCTGATTGGTCAACATCCAGTGTCACCCTGCCATGTGCCAAATACCCCGGGGGTGTGTATACCCTGCCACGGCCACTTGTCTCCAGAATTGTAGATACCTTGATTTCAGCAAATGTACCCTGATCTGACGTTCCCGAACCAGTGTCCATATGCATCGCACGAATCAATTTTTCAATTTCATATTCAACCGCAGGACAGCAACCAACCCTTGACTCATTCCGATCGAAACCAACCATGGCTGGCACACAGCACATTTCCGTTGGGAAAGCAACCGACAAGTTGCGAAGTGTGCGAGATACGAGCCATCATGCTCAGAACGCGATTGATCCAGCATGGTTGAAAGAAGGCATATGTCGTGTGAGGTGGATGTGTGACCACGAGCTCGTGGTGGCGGAAAGGTGGTAGGACATATACATTCCGAGCGAATCATGATGGAAGGAGCGAGTGGCGGAGCAAGAATTACACGTCTATTTACCCATCCCACGCCGACATTCATCTACGCCTTGTACGTACTATGCTCTTCAGACCCCACACAGCCTAGCATCAGAATTGGGTTCTGAGTGCAGTCCATAAAGCCTCCGCTGCTCCAGCGCGGGTCTGTGGTATGTTGTGGCACGTCCAACCTCCTGTGTTGTAGGTAGGGTAGTACGCTCATTTTTTCCATGATGATTCGTTCGTCGTGTGTGGTGTGTGTGTCCTTCCACTGCTCCGCCGCCACGAGCTCCTTGCCGCCACACATCCATCCGCAACATGCAGAGTCCTACCACCTTTCCACCATGCTGGATCGGTCGCGTTCTGAGCGTGACTCGTATCTCGCATTCTGCATAACTTGTCGGTTTCTTTACCAGCGGAAATGTGCTGTGCCAGCCATGGTTGGTTTGGTTACTGCTTGGTTGCTATCCTATGGTTGGATTAGAAATTGATCAATTGATTCGTGCTATGCATATGGATTAGGAACCGTCAGATCAGGGTACATTTGCTGCGATCAAGGTTTCTACGGTGCTCGAGAAAAGTAGCCGTGGCAGGGTACACACCGGGGTATTTTGGGACACGGCAGGGTGAATGTGGACATTGACCAATCAACTGAGCTCATTTGACGCTGTGAATCTGTGTATGCCCAGCTAAGTCGCTTTTCGAACAGGGTGTAGGCCCTGTTGTGTCGTTTGCCCATAGTTTGTTGTTTTTATTAACATACGTGTTTCCCTGCGTGTATCGTGATTTATGCCACAACGTTTTTGCTTTCTTCGCATTTAAACAGTGCTAGTCTCTGCTCAGAAGGATACCCTTTATTTTAACATGTGCACCGTGTTGGTGGTCCAACTGGCGTGGACACCGTCCCTCCGTGATCATGATCATGATGACAGGATGTGACGTCATTGTAGCATAATCAATCATCAATGCCTACATATGTTTGCTTCTTCTGTGGCCATCCTCTTTTTTCTGTGTATCTTTCTAATCCTGCGTGCCTTTGTGCCATGACATGCGATGACATGATACGATTTGATGCGATTTGATGCGATTTAATGCGATACGACAGGAGGACTGCGCCTTCACGCACGCCGAAATCCTGGGGCTCAAGCTTCTCTTCGCCCTCATGGACCAGGTACAGCACTACAGTACAGCAGCACAGGAGTAAGAGAGAATGAAGTATTGTAATAGTCGTACGCCGTGGTGCATAGCGAAGGAGAAGTACTGCAAGTCGCACGTTTCGAGCTATTTTGGTTGGTGGCGTCAAGCGTAGCGGCTTGTATCATCCATGCTCACCCTCTTGGATGCCTCATGCGTGGGGTGCATGTTCGCGCTGCAGTGCCCAACGTCAATCGAGATGTTGGCTGTGTTGCCAGTAAGCAGCAGTGTGGTGTGCTTGTGTTTTGTTTTGTTTTGTTTCATCATCACGTTGGGCAGTTGAGAGTGGGTTTTTACTGTGCTTGTCTTGTTGGCTTGCCTCTGGAGCGTGGAGCGTGGAGCGTGAAAATCCTTTAATCCTCTAATCCTTAGCCTGCACCCGAGAAAGATGTGTACGTTCCACCACACCAACCCATCCTTGCCTGTCAACATGGCATGCACCTGCCTGTCTTGTTCTATATGATACATATCACCGATTTTGACCCGTCTGTCTGCATTGCATTCTTCGGCGTGCTTGGTCGGTCTCGCATCTGAAACCCATCGATCACATCGATTACATCCCATCAGCGCGGGAGTGAGTTCATCGACGGAGTTGCGTTGGAGGAGTACGCCGATGAACAGGACGACTACGCGCAAGAGAGAGAGATTGAGGCCTGCATAAAGGCGGTCGACGTGGACTGCGACGGCAAGATAGGTGTGTGTGTGTCATGTGTCATGTGTCATGTGTCATGTTTGATGGTTTGATAGATGGATATGTATCATTGCGACCATGTCGTTTTTGTTGGCTCAGCTCTGTCTAGGCATACATGGCGGCAGAGGACTTCTTCGTGCCAACCAGCAGCGACGTCTAAAGGGTAGCAGCGCTGGACCCAGCCTTGATACACATATTTAATGGAGATGACGTGAATCGAATAAATAGCTTGGACGTAGTGTAGCATACCGTACGATACCTCTTGATGCTGGCCAAGGGAGGGGGGGGGGGGCAACTGCTGTAGAAATACATGCCAAGACAAGTAGAGGTCCTATCTGTTGTATCATACGTACGGTATGATTTTTCATCTGTTTGCACGTCCCATTGTGCGTTGCTCACATCTGCAGGGTTGATGGACTTCATCTGCTTTGCGGCGCGACTCAAGTGCTACTACGAAGGAGGAGTGGGTCTCCAAAAAACACTCAACCACGCTGGCACGAAAAAGCGGCCGTCGGGGATGTCCATGCCAGGGGACTCCGACAGCGATGACGACGATGACTCGGAGGTGTGAAAACGTTACCATTCTAGAATAAGGATGCGGGGTTTGTGTGTATGTTGATCACTTACAGTCGCAATCCAATCGAACATATATATGTGCGGAGTTGCGTTTTTTTTCGCTTGGATGTCCTTGTTGTTGTGTGTCTTTCCTCCCATGTTTTTTCTGGGCGCCAGTCTACACTTGACGGGTTTAATAATGTGTTGTACATGAGTGGAATTGTATCACCATTCCCCACCCTTCCTGCTTGCGTTCGGTCTTTAACGCGAAAGAGGTTGAGCTGATCAGCACATCCTTGCCTTGCCTCATTTGTCTTTTGCTCACTACAATGTGCTTTCCACTTTCGATTCCAAAATGGCGAGTGCTTTTTTCACTCCAAGCGACATCCATGCCCGCAACCTAGAGGTCAGAGGGTGATGACGAGGTTGTTAACAAAGACGAACGAACCACCGGGACGACCAGTCTCGGTGGTTGTGTTTTGAGTTGTACACGCGTCGTTGCTGTGCTGCACGAGCGCTGCTTGAGCAGTGTCTACCTCTACATACACCACGTGTTTGTTGTTCTTAAGTCTTGTTTCCACTCGGTCCACTCGGGTCTTTCAACGTCCCAGGAGGAAGAAGACGGTGATGATGATGATGGTGACGAGGACGATGACGATGACGACAAGGGTAGCTCGTTCACTGATGACGTTGACGACGTTCACGAAGACGAAGATGATGCCGATGGCAGTGGCGATCGCGATGGCAGTGAGGGCACCGAAGAGCACCCGGCGGAGGGAAGAGAATGCCAGAAGGGCAAGAAAGGCGGGGATGGCAGCGAAGGTGGAGGCCTGGGCGACAGCGGATCGAAGTCCGGCGACGGAGATGGAGATGCGGTGTTTGTGGTTGCCTCCGGCTCCACAACCGCGGTCCTTGAGAAAGCGCCGGCCAGTGGCACGGGTGGTGATGCCGATGTTGTTAATACCCGAGGCCTTCACCTTCACAGTCACAGTCTCACTCACACACGCCCGCCGAAGGCAGTGACGACGCCAGCGCCTGCTTATGGCACCAACTCGCAAGGAAGAGCAGCAGCAGCAGCAGCAGCAGCAGCAGCAGCAGCAGCAGCAGCAGTACCAGCAGCAGCAGCGGCATGGCCGGCAGCTTCATCAGCGGCGTCATCGCCAGGAGCGCCTATCGATTCTCGTTCCCCCAAGCCGCGATTTTCGAGAACGCCTTCAGAAGCTGCACTGGACGTGATCTCGGTGTCGTCTGTGTCTGCGGCTTTGTCCGCGGCGGTCAAGGCCGTCTCCACGACAACAGATGTGGAGGAATACAGCAGCAGACCACCCTTCGCCCACCACCACCACAGGGCCCCAACGGAGTGAATGAACTAATACTCACTCACTTCTAAATTGTTCTAGCAGTACAAGTATTTCCGACTGTCGCCATAGAGGGGATCCACCCACTCAATCAAGTGGTGCGCCAGCTTTGCTGTCTATTTTTTATTCCCCGCTGCGTGGTAACACAGCACTGGTGTGTTGTGTGGTATGCATACATGCGATCATATACGATATTTCTGTTGTGATTTGTCTAGCTGGCGGTGGCAGAGAGTGTCGTTGGGAGCTAGGGGTGCCTCCGCGAAAGTTTGTGTCGTTCGATGTTGAAGGGGGGGCGTGGGGGGATAAATTGTTATATTACCGGTGTCACTGCTCGTACCTTGACGGCTCGAGATGAAAAATAGCAACACTCTCAACACTCCATAATGTTCTCACACGTGTAAGGAAGGGCTAGGACGGTGTACTTTTTTGTACTTCTATTTTTTAAAAGAAAGTAATGAAGACAAGGTACGGTAGTCGCATCTGGTGTGTACCTCTTATTTGGACTCAATCAATAGGTAGAGCGGTACCCGGTGCTGCCAAAGGCGCAAGTAATGTTTTTATTAGTCCCAAGTTTTAGTGGCAGGCAAAAGCACCAGTGGTATTATTTTGTGGAGTGTTTTTTCGGTAGTGTCCCTCTTGTCATGAATCAGTCATTCAGCCATAGAGTCTGGTGTGAACAGAGAAGAAGAGAAAACTCGGGTGGTATCGTATCATCAACTTAAGGAAGGTGTAGCGACAGCAACGTGTTGAACGATGAACATGAAGGACGTTAAAAGTGTGGCGGTGTGTAAGTTGGCGTAACCCTTGGCCTCTCGCAGTAGTCTAATGCAGAGGTAGCCATGCGGGGTTGCAACCAAAGTTGCATGCAATTGAATCGAGTTGCAAGCCGGAATCCTCGCCGGGGATGGAGTACCGCGTACCTACACAGCTACACATGGGGCGGCGGGGGTTCTTCAGCTAGTCTAACTGCTGTCGCAATCGCTCGTTGGTAGGTGCATCAGCCTGTTCAACGGAGACACGTGATAATATTGGATGGGACGATGACGTAGTCTAGCTTCGTGTTCGATTTTTTTTTATGTGATAGTTGGACCATGATGGCACACTTGCCCTGCCACCCTCTTTGTGTTTCGGCTTTTTTGCCCCCAAGTACCCTGTTCCGTAGCACCTCCTGCGCGGCTCGCATTTATTACTCACAACATTCAGCAGGGTGTGTGTAGAGGAGGTAGTGGCGTAGACGTTGATTTGATGTCTTGTCGAACGTAAGTCTCAAACGAGATATGTAGTCTGTCTACGTTTGCTTTCATTTTGTTTGTGTGCTTTTACGAACAGAGTGCGTTTTGGGGTTGAACAACCACTTGGGCTGGCTAGCTAAATAGACGTGCGCCTAGGGATAAGGATGAATGAAAACTCGTGTTTCTTTTTTAGTCTGTCGTGACTACAGCTGGCTGTGCATACAGCAAGCAAGTGTGCTACTTTGGAGTAGTTATCTCCAGGAACGAAATCAAACAGCCGATATCCACGCCGCCAACACCAGATATACCTGTAGGCTCGATGAAAACAAGATAGTAGGTACACACACCGCTTGTACGCGGCCATGCAACACGCACAACCTGGGGTCAGTGCGAAGAATTTCGGCGTTCCGCCTTGCCATATACGTTGCCAAGCCCCCAGTTTTTTAAAGGTGGGCTCAGTTTATGTTTATGTCCCCTCTTTCCTGACACACTGACACACATTCAGATGTTAAGCATGATCTCCGCAAGCTACGGAGGCTAACCCCCTGGCGTGTTAACACTATGCCTACGATGGTATGGATACCAACCTCTTCTCTTCATTGCTGACCTGAGTCAACGACAACGACGTGTGCGTCATGGTTGAAACAGGAACGTATGCATACGTGCTGGGTTGCCACGGGCGTGCCTCGAGTCGCTCTCACCTCTCACCCACCAACACAAAAACGTATTTCTTCTCCATTAAAAGTGAAGTATCTTTCCACCGAAGCCACGATGTGCTATTACTAATCAAATCTGTTGCGGCCGGAAAGGCATCCATCCGGCGTTCAAATCGTGGGGAGCATGTAGCAAAGTCGCACATGTGTTCACGAAACGATCAAAGCTAAGGCCCGGCTTGTCAGATGCAAACGCAAAATATCGTTTTCGTGTCAAGTCAGTCGTAACGGTCTCCTTGCTTTGGCCTGCACGCCATGCGCAGAGAAAGGTGGCCGGCAATTAAAATTACCCTCATGACCGTGGATGACGTCATCGGACGACCAGGGATTTTTTCCCTTTCTTTGGAACGTTCCTTTCGCGAGATTGGCCAATCATTTAATTGCGGGCCACCTTCCTCTCTCTTCATCCACGAAAAGCTACACATAGTCTCTACCCTCTACTGGTCAACGAACGTGTGCCGCAAAGATGTGCTTTTGCATGTATCAACTTCCTTCATCTATTACTATAGGTCAACCCCCCCCCCTCCCGGTTAAAAAGGACTAGAATAGAACACTGTACCAAAAGGACGCCAGATATACATGTACAACTACAACAGGTTAAGAGGATTCGTTCCTCGCCCCTTATCTCCCTCCAATATTTCGCTCAATCCTTATCAACATCCGTCAGCCATGTATGCTACAACTGTTCGCGGATGGGTCACTTGTTGAAGTTCTTTCGCATGTCTTCTCTAGCCTCCATTTCTCGAAGGTTGAACCCAACCACGAGCTGCCACATGCATAACTGAGCCATACCGGAGCCTGTTTGTTGAGTCAATGTTTTTGACAGAATCTCGCTGGCCGAACGAGAGGACAAGGACAAAGGAGAAGGACAGCAACAGCACGGATGAACGGCGAACGGCACACGGGGACAGCACAAAGGGTGGGATGTTGAGTTGGCTCGGGTGGGACCCGCTTGTTCAAATCGGATATCGTGACCACAACACCACGTGTTACCCTATCATGAACAAACTGCTACAGCCTGCCATGTGATACGAAGTGGTTCACATGCGTATGATACGCATAGCAATGGGTGCCAAACAACCTCGTAGCCTTGTGTGACGCACGTCTACAGATCAACCACAACTACCATCCTATACCACAGACACTTCGGGATGTGAAAATGACGAGAGATAGTTTCGATTCGATTCGTCACATGTGCTTACCGGTCACCCATGCCACCCATCACCGTTTCCACAAGAAGCCGCATAGACTCCAGCACGTCAGGGCTCACGCCGGCCGTAAGCCCCTGGAACGGGGACCATCGCACAACACCGACAACAACAGACACAGACAAGACAGACAAGCCAGGCAGGCGAACATCAAGTACCAGCGTCAATCAGATCAGATCAATTCGCTCGCCGTCACATACCGAACGGGCACGAATGTAGGTAGGTAGGTCTCTCCTATCATCACGTGCCTTTCTACAGAGAAGGCCCCAAAACAACAAGAAAATTCTCAAGCACGTTGTGCGATCACCGGCCAGGGAAAATATTCATAAGATGAGATGCTGCCACCGCTTCTTAAGACCTGCTATGACCGCACTTCAACCATGTTTTCGCTTTTCAGCTCTTCTCCCAATCTTATTTCGTACGTTTCGAGTGAGGCCGCACATCTTGTCGTGTCATTTCATGCTCCTGATAGTCGACTTCACGTATATGGTACATACTACGTACATGCGCCATTAATTTCGTGCTGGTCTGGATGAATGTTTCTGCGGTTTTGACTCATGGTGTCGCTGTAATAACCACCCATGCATACATACCTGCAGCTGATGTTCCGGCATTGACTTGATGTAAACCAAAAGGTCTTGCTGCACCGCCTCCTCCTTCTGGGTTTGCACCATCAACAGCTGAGACTCCAGCTGCTCCACCTGTCACGAACACGATAAATCATCAAACCATGCAGGTTCGCACTTCGTGCATTAGCTTGACATTGAAAAACGTGTCGGATTTTGCGTCCCGCGTTGACATGTGAGTGGCTGCGGATAGGAGAACCAAAGGAAACAAGGCGACTGCGTAGAGTTAATAGAGCCAAGGGCAATCAGCACCTACAGCATCCGGAGTGAAAAGAAGCTTGTGAAGGTCGACCCTGCTATTTACATAACTTTGCGCGAGGCCGTGTGAGCACTCTGTGGAGTGTCGAGAGAAACACGAGGACGAAAAGCCCCATCAGTTACAAACAAGACAACACGCCGAGCCCGGCGAAGGCCACGCCCACACCATCATCATCTGACTTGAGTACTCCTACCGCAGTACTTCGGCCGTGACCCGTGACCAACGAAGGCGACATGTGGTAGCAATGCGTGTTTGCAACACCCAACACCCATCACCCAACAGAAATGCGCGCATCTCTTGCCTTAAAGGCAGAAACGGCAGAAAGAAAAGGGTACAATTTCTCTGGGAGGTTTGTGGTTTGTAGGCCTGTAGGCAGGTAGGTAGGTCGCAGGTGGGGGTACCTAGCGATCGGAGGAAGCCAATAACCTCCCCGGCCAAACAGGATTGAGAGTGGTTGCAGGATCCAGATTCCTGCCAATGACGAACGTAGCGCGTTGCAGGACGCAAGAAAATTGTTGAGCATGGCCCAAGAACTACTGTAAGTAACCAACGATGACGCAAAGGTATCGCTCGACCCACCTGCCCCCTTAGCTCGGCCATGTAGGCATCGGCATCGACCTCCATTGCGCGTTCTGTCTCCTTATTCTCGTCGTAGGTGAGCTTGATCTTGCCCGAAATCTTTGGTCTGGCGATGATGAGGTTGCCATCATCGTCCATTTCCACGCGCGAAGTGCTGAGAGATTCGTCTTCCTCTTCCTCACCGACAATGCTCTTACCTAAAAGCAGTGAGAATGATGGAGTTAACAGCTAAGAGAATCATACGCCAGGGAAAGGACAGCTCATTCTACAGTATAAATGTCAACGTCGCCAGTCGCCATGGCGTCGTGTGGGTGTCGTGGTGGTGCTTTTGTACGCAACAAATAAACGTAGCGGAAGGAAGGTCACGTCAAGACAGCACGGGCAGCCCTCGCCAATCCACACACATCGACGACTTGCAACCGCCTGTTTATGTCCTATGAATAACCGTTGTGTTATCCTTTCTTCGTCGAATGTGCTCCCGTATTTACGCATTTCACCTGCGGGCAGGGCGGCCGAAGCTCGCATCGAAGATTGCAGAGAAAGGCGGTACTCGGCATTTTTGAACATGTACCCAGTCATCTGCAGCTGGAACATGAGGTTAGCAAGCGCATCCCCAGTAGCGATGGCCGTAGTCTCGAAGGCATGCCTAGGGAGAGATCCCAACAGCCCAAGCACCGTCGTTCGCACTGCCTCCTGCACCTGTTGGCGTTTTGCGTTGAACCGCATGTTAATTGAGCTCAAAATTACGTTGTACACTCGTGGACGCGTGCATGGACGAATCCACACCAAACAGGAGGTGAACAAATGACGCGAGTGAGCACGAGGACGCATGCATTATCAACACAGCAGTCAGGTGTTGTGTTCACCGACTGCTGTGCTCCTCGGTGCTCGTTCTCAGCGGGACGCCAACATGTGAGGAGGAACGACTGCCAAAAACCCAAGACCGCTGTAATAAACAGCATCGAAGTAAGTCACCAAGCCAGTAACCCTACAACTGCAGCCAGTTGTGTACACCATGTGGCGAATTTCTTGCGGGAGATAGATACACCACGCACCGCGAACGCTTGCTCCAAACCACGTCGGGTGTCATCAGCAGATCAGCAGTCGACTGCGGTATTTTACTGGCAGATTGCATACATGTAGCATTTACTCTATTTACAAGTTGTTGAGTTCTCACCTTGGGAGAGGAGGTCTTCATGAACCTGCCGATCAACTCCGTCGGGGAAAGGCGTCGGACAACATCGTAGTAGGGATTCACGTTCTCGTTCTCATCACCAACGAAGAACTCAGACTCTCTTGTCCCATTATCGCTCCGGTATGACAGCGGCAGCGAGTCTCCCTGTGCGAGCAACGACAACGGGGCTATATCATCGTCATCTGCGGTATCCCCCATTCCAAATCCAATCACTTCGTCATCCTGCTGTTCCTTCCTCTCGCCGCCCGCCCCGGCATCCGCCCCGCCCTGCTCGCCTTCGGCATTAGACTCAGCATCAGCGCCTTCGCCCTCTGCCGCAGCATCACTATCCTGATCGCCAGGTGATGTGGACATCGTGCATGGCCCTACTGAGCGTCGCCGTATTCCCCAACAAGTTGATGTGGTGGTTGTTGTTGTTGTTGTTGACCTTGTCAAGGCTACGGCTTGCTCCGACACGCGGCGGCGCGCCGCCGGTGGTGATCTGAGGCGTGTCCCCTGGAGATAGGAGCACAATCAATCGACAAATGCAGTTTGACGTTAGGCGAAGAGCAGTCTCCGCACGAGTCACACTCGTGGTAGTGGTAGTGGTAGTCGGTGCTGGTTGTGCGCAACAACACTAAAGAGGAAATACCACGCACACAGCAGTGGAAATGCTATGGTGTGTTACGTGGACGGATACACAACACTGCTGTTCAACACTCACCGGTAGAATAAACGCACTCCCTGTGAGCAGCACCGAAGCCACAAAGAGCGCCAAGCACCTCGAATCTACATTCGAAACCATGGCACGGGAGAGTGGTTGCGTGAGTAAGCAGCCAGCAATCTTGGTGTGCGCCTGTCCGTGTAAATAGAGGAGGCTGAGGCTGAAGTTAGGTGGGGGGGCGGCAGAAAGAGACAGTCAGCAGTTCCGTGTGCGGGACCCTAAAACGTTGGAAGCGGGGACGCGGGTCATCCATCCCCTGGTTCGGGGTTCATTTTTTGTTTTGGCTCTTGTGGGCCAACCGGCCAGAGTAGCATTAGCATCACAACGACGTTCGTTGGGGAAATCCCAGGGAGGTGTGGTATCCGCACTTCGTTGCTAGTGGAGTGTTTGATGATTTTTTGTGTTGAAATAAAGGACACGACGTGCAAAGAAAACCATAAATAAAAATGTTCATGTTTTTATTATGTCAGGACTCTCACTCAGTGTGTGAGAGGCAAGGTCGCAAGGTCGCATGTAGGGTGGACAAAGAACCTGCCGGCGAAAAAAGTCAATACAGTATTAGGTGGGATGACGGCAAAAAAACGCGCGGGTTTGGTTGGCCGTATGGCGTACAACTCTGTGGTCGAAACTTGAGAATCCCCGTGGTGGCGGCCAAACATGCTACAGCTGTATCTTGCTTAGACTATGACTTCCAGCCTATGACTCCTCTAGACTATATGTTGTTGCTGGAAGTTCTACTTGCAGTAGAAAAAAAAATTCGTTCCGTCGGTTTCGCAATAGACTACAGCAGTGAGGATGGGGGGTGGGGGGTGGGGGGTGGGGGGGCGTCACCTGCCTAACGCCGGTTGCATTGCGCCCGTGGCCGTCAATAGGGCCAATGAAATTGCTGGGCACAGGCAGACTGAACACCAGCGCCGGTCCCTCTGGACATAGGTAGCGCCGGTCGATGCGGCCGCCACATACCGGCGTTATTGACGGCCCTCCACTCACTACTGCTGTAGTCGAGACTAATGGTCTCTTCCACGGCGGTGACTTGCGCTGTTGCGTGTCGTCTGTTGGAAGTTCCGAATGTTCCATGACGCACTCTGACGTAGCTTGTCTGAGTTGCGTGGTGTGGTGGCTCACGAGGCCACCCTCTTCATCTCATCTCATCATCTCGATCAGCTCTCTGTATCTATACGTACTTGTACGGCGGTGGCTGTCTGTCTGTCTCCAACCACCCGGTGGGGAGGAAGACAGACAGGAAAATCAAGACAGATACAAGTATGCATACACCTGTACACGACAAGTAAAAAGTAAAAAGGATCACCTACTATGCACATGTGAGTAAAGAGTACGTCGCCCTTTCCAATGAGACTCGGAAACTCGGCTAGGTCAATGACACGTGCATTTTCCTACAGAATGCGTGGAAAGGGTTGGTAAGGGTTAAGACGTTCCTTCTCTCCCTCGGTGCATGATTTTATCTAGCTCACGACTACAGTAGCGCTTTCCCACGCGAAAATCGAGGTTACGAGGTCACTTGATTGAACGAACAACGGGCGACCGGCGCACACGGCTAAGCTCTAAATACCCAGCTCGAAGCACGACACCCGGACCCACCCTCATCTGCACATCATCTACAGCAGCACTTCAAATAAGACAAATAACGCGAACCCTGCAACAACTAGATGCTGTACCAAGTATTATGTGTTGTTAACTATTACTATGAAACCCGTATGGTACACAAAGAGCTACCAGACAACGATACACACACCTAACGATATATGGTACACAGCACGATCACGCAATGTTCCGCCCCGTCCACGATTCACGATCCATCATCCACAACCCACCGGCCTCTCAACAGTCTATTTATTTAGCTACGCGTTCAGGATTCCTCCCATGCCGAAGTGGACGGCAGTGAGAAGACCCTTCCTCATGCGCTCCTCGGTGGAATACGGCGGCAGCTCGATGGAGAAGAAACATGTGTGGCTCACCTGAACACCGGGGGTCGTGGTCAGGCAAAGGATGAAAAAACGATACCTCAGATCCCGGTGTCAAAATCCCGGCCAGCACGACTGACCTCCTCTACAACACCAAACACTGCTCACGAAGGCTGCCATGATGATGGGTTAACTCGAGCTATTGTATCATAGCCGAAAGAGAAGCAAGTTGGACTGCTGCTAGACTAAAACGCTCTTTCGATCCTTTCTCACCGGGAGGCTCTCCTCGCTCATGTTGCTTCTCAGGAGCTTCATGTTGACCCTCCAAAACGGCTTCGGAGGAAGGCGAGAGCGCCCCCAGGCGAACCGCACGAAGCCACTCTGGTCTTCGGGGCTCATAGACTCGATCACCTTCATGTCCAACACGAAAAACAAGAATGTTATGTTAACACCTGTCCTCTGGATGCACTTTGGAAGATGCCGACCAACAATCGCAACCTTGAGAGGTGCACCCACCGAAAAAAACAAATACGTTTCTTACTCAGCATGGACTTCAATGTACTTTGTGCATAGGGCGAACAAGGCATTCATCCAAGCCAAATTTTGCAATATCCTGTCGTGGCCAAACGAATTGATCCCATGGTCGGCCAAATTTGTTGGTCTTCGATCGACCTCAGCACGAAACATCGCACGTCACGTCAGCACACGGAACACGGAACACCCTAGGGCATGTACCATACAGCAGTGGGCACCCAGATGATTAAAAGTGCTTGTATAAACTGGTGTCTCGGAGAGAGAAAGTCGGAGGCTTACAATCTCGTGGAAAGCCGCTTGAGGTGCACGTAAGGTGCTTGAGATTCTGGCGAAAAGAGATGGGAGTGGTGTGTGGTCAAACTTGATAAACCATTCAAGATACACAAACCAACCCCCTGATTGACGGCGAAATACCTTCCAGAAGAACTGCACCGTGTCGTCGTCCGGTCGGTATCCCTTGTACTCGGTATGCTCCTTCCAGCACGGTATGTCGAACTCTGGCTCTCCCGCAACCGCGATCTCTAGCTGCGCAGCTGTGAACAGCCGGAGCACCTGTAGAATAAGCAGCGGCCAATCAGGTCAAGATCATGTTCCAAGAGTAGCTCAAAGTGAGACAGACGTCACACCTCCTCCCTCTCCCCCTCCCCGCTCCTCCTCTTTGCGCACGCCAAAAGGTACGTACCCGCTCATCGCTGTCACTCTGGGTTGGCATTCACTACACCGACAAACAGAAAAACAGGCAGATTGGTTGGTTGTGTGTACCTTGATGGGTACGATCTCCGAAAGTCCCGCGGCCATAGCCATCGCCTGTCCGCAACAAGAAAGGGCCACCAACACCAGCCAGCGAGTGCACGGGGAAAATAGGGCAGTGGGTCAGCAACCAACGAAAGGACAAGAATGCTATAAATAGCTTGCACCGCCAACACGAGCCATCTGTGGAGCGACGAGAGGCGCTATTGAAACACGGCGGAATGCCACATCGACAATATTCCTAACATCTGGCTGGCGTAAATCCACATGATGCCTGAAACATTTGTCGCATCACAACACCCACGCCAAGCTGTGACTCCTCCAGGGGCCATGCCATCAATATCAATATCAATACAATATCTCTGCAAAACATCTTACCAATCCTCATTCGTACTAAAGCAAAAATGGAACGAGGAGCGAGCTTTGGTCTTTCAGTTCGGTAATCACTCCGTTCTTTGTCACCTGGGCGTCAAATTCATGCATCCTGGCTTGCTCCACCATGCGGCAGAACGTCAAGCGGTTCTCGAAGGTCACTCGTCGAGCCGCTCCCCCAGGAGTGAGCTCTCGTTCGACACCATCACTGCCCGTGTAGGTGAAAAACAGCCGATCTCCGTACATCCCTGCCAAACGCGCGGGTCGAACGACATACTAGGTCAAGGCAGAGACTACACACCGTGCACACTATGATAGTACGGTGATACGTCGGGCCTTGGGGCAGTATGCATGCACGTCTGCATTCGCCTTATCAGTCGTTCGCGAGGTGAGGGGAGAGGAGGGGAAGATGGAATAGAGAGAGAGATTCGGTAAGCTTTGCTCCTGGTGGTGTACGGCGCTACTGGAGTCCACCGACAAGAAGATACAGCCGTGAGCTTGAATTAGCTACCCTGCTGGTGGGCAAAGAACCGCCCAAGTGGTCGCGAAGTGGTTTGCTTTGGTTCTCAGCATTGGTGCCCGTGCGCGCCAATTTCATTTTCATTCCTTGCAGCATGTCTTGGATAGCCGTTTTGACCACAGGCTTTCTCGCCATTAGGGTGCTGTGCCAAAAGAACGACCAGAAAGGAGGACGAGCTGCACTGCTGCTGCACACCCAGCGCGAAAAATCTCTACCAAACCCGACGCTTCCCTTGGCGGAGCTTTAGCTTTGTCTTCTTCGCCACGTACCGGCTAAAATGGTGGCGCTAACAACAAAGGTCACATACACAACACGTAAAGAAACACGTCTTCAAGCTCACCTCTGAACTCCTCGTCCGTAGTCAGTCCATCGTTTTCACAGGTCCTGATCGCTGTGATGAACTGCGTGATGATCGTGTCCACCATTGACAAGTCCTCGAAATCCACGTGCAATCCCTGCGAGCCAGGCAAGTACCGCGGAATAACCACACGTCAAAAGAAAGCACCATCGCGATCAAGATGCGACACAGGATAGCCGCCAACAGGTAAAAGCGTATATTTTGGTAGACACAGTCTGCAACGTGAGTCGCTAAAAAACTCGACTGCCAAACCAACGGCGGTTAATGGTTAACGAAGTTGGACTCACCAACATGCGCTTCCAAATTAGCCCGGGCAGTTGGAACGGCAGGCAGAGACGGGTCCGGAGGCTCAATCCCATCAGGCGGCCAACGAAACGTAGCATGCTCAGAGCCAAAGGAGACGAATGCTGCGAATTGGGCACGAACTTCTCGTTGTTCTGTGAGTCAACGGGACAGGACAGACAGACGAAAACATCGAGGGGAGACAGTGTACAAAATCACGCCGCATCGAAAGCGTCCACACACAGGAAATAATACACCAGCCGGCGTTTCTACCTCCATCTAAAACTTTGTACAAATGTTTCGAACTGCATGAATTGCGTATCCCTCTTCATTTCACCCCTCCCTTCCCCTCTCGTCATGTTCAGCACAACGGCTGATGAGGTCGGATGCGCCACGGGGAATGAAACACCAGCGTGCAGCTTGCAGTCAAGTCAAGCCTAGCGGTGCTATAGTAGCGTCCACGGCCTGCACTGCTGTATCATAACAGTATCACATCATAACAGCAAGACACCAAGACCACGTGAATGCTAAAGGCTGTCTCACAGGAGAAAAACAACACCACCACCTCAAGGCGTAAATACCTCCGCCAGCGGCGTGGCGCTCTGTATCAAAATCAACGCGTCAGGTTCGAACGGTGGGATTTGCTCTTTTTCTCGCGGAGGTGCGGAACCACCCACCTGGCCCACGGCATGCCGTCCGTTGGGACATGGCACCAGGAGGTCGAAATCCTGCGAGAAAAGGTCTTCCACCATGCGCGACATCCCCTCTCGAAACACACCTCCAGCATCAACTCCGTCCTCTCCCACAAAGTTGATCTGATGCAGCCAGACAAGAGTACGGGAATGGCGTAAACACAACAGAAAACAAAACAAGACAAAGCTACGGCTATTCGACACAGGTATGTACTCGAGCTTGCGTGCAACAATAGTTAAAAGCTACTTACAATACAAAGGCTGCGGGGTACAACATCACGAACACCTAGTGCTCAGCGAAACTGGTTGGTGACCTCACCTGAAACACACGCTCCCCGTCCCACACCGTCCGCAAAACCTTGGGGTCTGTGTCACACAGCTGACGATACGCTTGCGCGAACACGCACTGGCTCGAAGTTAGGTCCCTTTCCCCGCGATCTCGAGAAACCATCGCCTTGATGTTGTCCAGAGTCACGGCGACACCATCCCCAGGGCCCTATTCGTGCACGAAGGAGACGAGACGGGCGAAATCTCAGGTGTAACGTCACGAGTCGTGCTGCCTACGCTGCCAACTCACAGAGACAAAATGATACCTATACATGATGGGAATGATATTCCTGTATCATTACATGTCGAAGAGCGTCAATAAGTCATGAGGTCAGAAATACCAGACCAGACCAGATGAGGCGTGCAAGACCGATCGATTCCCAAGTCGGACAGGACAGAACCGGACGACAACGTCGACGCCAACAGGTCTCCCCCACACCGTGCTGAAAACCGGGAACACAAACGGACCAATCACACATAAAATCTGCACCATGGAGACGAATGGTTGACATTGCCCACGAACGAGCCATACTGTACCTGTGTGGCGATGAGAGCAGCCTCCAACACCGGCACCTTGATGTGCGGCAAAACCAAGTGGTTCATCTCGCGAAGTTGCCAGCCTAAGCTGTCCGGTTGTCTCGACGCCAAGTCGATCACCGGCAACACGCGCTGCCCAACAGAACAGTACCGCGGGAAACCGGGAAACGGAGGAACATTTAGAGTTAGGTACCCCCCACACCAAACAACAAACAACAGAGACACCATTCCCATCCTGTTGATAGACAAAGCATACTCGGCGCAGTTTTACTAACTTTGAGCGAAATATGGAGAGCTTAGAGAGCCTCTGCTTGCTGTACTGTATGTGTTAGTCTTATACGGTCGGTAGGCAGTCACTGCTGTGTCGTACCTCTATTCGGTCGTTAAGGCGAAGAAGCAGAGCTGCCCTGATGTGCAGCGAGGCAGCGGGGACTGTGGCCAGCCGCTGCTGCTGGAACTTTGCCTCCGCCCTAGTTAGCATACAACACCACGGATTTAGCGCTTCGGCGACACGCCCTGACGTCGCTTCCTCCTTCTGCTGGAGTATGATAAGCAGCCGGTGGCGTCAAGGGCGGGGGGGGGGGGGGGGGGAATGCAATCATTTTTTGGTTTAGATCCTCCATGTGACAAGCGCAAGAGCTGCACGTGCACGTGAAAGATGACCAACATCGAAGGACACGAGCTGAATGAATTGATTCTTGCACAGCACGATCGTGATGGGGCGTGGCGTCCACCTGCGCGCATAGTCGGAGAAAAGGACACTCACAGATTTCTCTCCGCTGGCAGCATCAAGAAGATTGAGCAAACCGTTGTCCATCGCTGGCGTCCATGCTTTCATCCAGTCACGCGCCTGTTGCAAGGAGGGTGCGCCACCCCGAGACTGCAGGGACAAACGCTTGTTCAAGAATAGCCGCAAGCGCGCCTGGCGCGGCATCGCTGCTGCCTGAACCCGGACTGCCCATTCCCACGCCCGTGACGACCTGCACTCGGCGGTAGAGACAGCAGCAGAAGCGCTTTCGACGCCTCCCTCGGCCACATCCTTTGCACCGGCACATTCGCGTGGTTGGGAGGAGTCCCCAGACGCACGCTCCCCAGCCAGATCTTGATGGATCGCGGCACCACGGCTGCTTTCTTCTGTCCCGTCGTCGCCTACTGCGACCCCACTCGGGTTAACCTCATCTCGGGTTGAAACCCCGGGCATGGGAGCGTTGGTTGCCACGCTTCTTTCGATGGCGACGGCAACGATTTCGACTCCCGGCCTTGCCAAATCTGGCATGTCTGACATGTCGCTGCTGGCGGCCTCGAGCATGGGAAGAGCAGTGGCAATCACGCTATCAAGGGTCGAACAGCGTGGCCATGCTCCGCGCTCCCGCAGACTGGTGCTTGGGCTGTTGTTGTTGGAGCTTCCGTCCTTGCTCTCCGCGTCGCTGTCGGCCACCTCCACGGTGGCTGCATTGCTCACGTACGAGACCCCGTGAAAAGCCGGCATTGGCCCAGTACCATCGTCGATTCCACTTGCCGACCGCCACCGGTGCTCTACCCCCGTCGCCCCTCCCCAGGCTCCCAACACTGGCGTGTTGGACGGCAATCGATCCAATTTGGCGTCGGCGTCCGGCAGGGTATCAAGGTCAAGGTCCAACAACTCGGGGGTTCCCGGTGCCGGGGGCAGGGCACCAAGCTCTCCATACGCTGCCATCACGCCTGCTGTCGAGGCATCTTTGCTCTCGCACGCCGCGTGTGCGGCTTTCGGTCCTCCCAAGGCGTCACCTTCCTTCGAATCCTTTGGATCCTTCGAATCCGCCGCCAGGTCGACCCTTGTAGCACCCTCTTGCGAAGGCACAATCCTAACTTTGTCTCCTTGGACATAAATCGGAACCTGCGCACCGTTCTCGGTTAGCAGACCAGCATGAACTGGTGTGCCCTCAGGGTTAAAGCCGAACACGTGCAAGCTGCAGTCTGGCGGCAGAGGATGCATCTGGCGACCAGCGTATGATTGGGGGACGGCGTGCAAAAACATGAAATTAATTATTTCGAGATGCCCCTGGACCTGGCTGGCAACGTTCAACATTCCGCCTTCCTGCGACAGGCTGTCATGAGTCAGAGCCATTGATACAAGAAAATTGAGCACGCTGATTGGCGTCCATCACTCGCATTAAGCTGCTTTCCTGCGGGAATCGGACGTATGCACGGACGGTGTACAGAGGCTCGTTTTAAAATGATCAATACATCAATGAATAGGTATTTCGCACGAATTTCAACTAGTCCTAGAGCCATATTACTGGTAATTGATCTCACCTGGTCTACTTCCACCAAAAGGCTCAGAGCTCCCCTCAGCCTCGTTTCGTGACCAGGTGCCTCGCCCACCGCGTCGGCACCGACCTGACTACCATGACTCTGTAGACGTGCGCACTCCCACACGGGCCCGTCGCCAACGACCTGTTGAGGTGTTGAGGTTGAGTGAGTGAGATGTTGTAGGCAGGTTCCATGCCTCATTCTTTCAACGCCACTGGAAGTGATATCGATGGCACTCAAAGCCACTGACTGCCACAAAATACTTCGGCACACGTGTAGTGTGGGACAACCGTATTCCTGCCCCCGAAAATGACACTCTCAGCGCAATAACAAGACGATCACAGCAGCAACAGCAGTGTATAGGCTACGATAGTACAAGTACAAGGCGACAGTGCCGCATAGTTGCTGTTTATTAAGCCAGCTTGAGAGGTTGCAGGCAGCCCTCCCTCACCGTGAAACGGAATCCCCAGTCGTCCACCTCCGGATCGCCCGTCACCACAGAGTTGGCAACTGCAGCCTCTCCATCAGCTTGAGCCACAAAGCGGTAAGTGATCGAATCGCCACGAAATGTGATGACTTCACCCCAAGGGGCTTCTTGCTGTCCGGTAAGGGAGATCATCTTGTCCTTGCCCTCCAGAACAAGACTTGCCGTGCCCTGCAACAAGAGCAGCGACGGGGACATGACGTGTAATTTGCTGGCTGTCGTGGCAACACAAGTGACTCGTGTGGTCTTTCGTACCAACCAAGCACGTTGCACACATGCCTGGCATTGTGTACGAGCTGTCTGCCTTTGGAACCGAATGCAACGCCTGGGCAAAGAAAGTGCTGTGCCCGTGCGTGCGTGCGTGAGTGATTACTTGCGATTTGCTTGTGTCTTAGTCTCTTACCTCTTGCATGGAGCTGCGCGGGTCTAGAAAAACGACCATCTCCTCGGCCCCGGGCAGGTGCAGCGTCTCAGAGTACGTCCCCTTTCGAAACGGATGGTCCGATTCCACGACAACCGCGGGGCCCACGGCATCCATCCAGGCCTCGCACAAGATAGCATCCAGATGAAGGGGCTCGTCTCCTGCTCCAACTCCAACAGACGTGCCCGTCACCTCCGGAGAGGAAGGCCAGCCGTCGCGAAGAGCGCGTAAGGTGTCCATGATCTCGAGCAGGTGCTGCAAGCAACGAGACGGTGTTTCTGCCGTCGCTTCTGCGCCCTGCAGCAGAGGGTCGACAGGTGCCGAAGGACCCGCCTCGACAGGTGGCGCGAAAGTTGTCAGGTCGGGTAAGACAGAGTTTCGCAGATCCACCTCCAGTCGCGCCCGGTCTTCCGCACCTAGAGATCTTACGCTGACCAGTATCCGATCACCGAGATCCCGTTCTGCACTCCCCACCTCCTCCGCCTCGTCCTGACCTGCTTCTTCCACGGGACCCTCCTCGGGGCGAGTCCCGAAGGGTGGGAGAGATATTCTCACACCGTTTGCCTCCTCCTCCTCCTCCTCCTCCCCCTCCTCCTCGTTCTTCTTCGCGTCGTCTTCGCCCGCGACTGCAACAGCATCTACGTGCTCTGGCGTCGGCGTTGTTGTCTCCAAGCACTCCTTTCCTTCCGTCTCCAAATAAGAGAGTTGCGGCAAAGAGCGCTGCGTGATGGCATCCTGCGCCTGCCGCGTTGCTATCGCGAGGTCCGTCAGAAGCAGCAGACTCTCGTTCGCCCAGCTCGTCTCTAGCTGCACCCCCCCGGGGCAGTCACCCGATCTCCACGCGGCGCTACGAGGGCCTCGACCGCATGTCAACCTATCGCACTCCCGCAATACCGCAGCCAAGAGCCCAGAAAGCTCCTCCAGTGGGGGCGGGCTGTCTGCGAACTCTGCGTGAGATCGCACTAGAAGGGTCAAGAGAGGCACCATGCGCAGCCGGTGGGGAGCACCGGGGGAGCGCAGGTAGGCCACCAAGGTCCGGAACAGAGCCCCTCGCATCGCCAGTCGCCGGAGGGGCGGGTGACCGAGAAGAAACGATAGGAGCCAGGAAGCCCACGATACCGACGGTTGCGGCTTGCGACCCATGTCTGCCACAATGTCTGCCACGGCTACCTCTTCTTCTTCGTCGTGAGCTGTTCGCTCCTCAAGCTGTACCGGACTCGTCACCCCCGAAGACGGTGGTGGAGGTGGTGCTGTAGCCGGTATGGGCGGCACGACAGACGAGCCCTGAGGTGCTGGGCCAGATATGACGTCCGACTCCTGACACCACTCGTTTGTGATGCACGAGGCGGACACGCCCTTGAGCGCCCAGCCCTCGCCAACGCCAGGCTGAAGCTTGATGCGCTCACCTTCGTCTTCCTCCGAGCTTTCCTCCCCGCCGCTGCTACCCGGACAAAACATCAACACATGTGTAGTGTATGTGCACTTCGCTGGGGTTCATGGCTTGAACGGTAGTCAGTCTTGCTTGACAGACACAGGTCAACACTACCTGCTCTTCCATCCAACATACGTTAGTATCGTTGCTCTATCCACCAGGTACGACGAGATGACGCGCAGTTATAGATGAATGGACAACATGCACTGCTACATACCCCCGCTGATGCGCAGGCACTGCGTCGTGTCGTTTCGCTGTCAACCCTTGGTACAAGGTGTGTGTGGAAATGATCTCGATAGAGGGGCGACAAGGGGGGGGGTCACGCGCCAACCATGGCCGTGGAACCGCGTTGACTTACCCCCCTTTCTTCTTCTTTTTCTTCTTCTTCTTGCGCTTCTGCCGTTCTACCCGCGAGTGTGGCCCTTGTGTGACCTCCTTCTTCCCCATACGGCCGCCAGTCTGAGACCCGAAGAATGTCCCGAGACCATTCTGTGCGGACCAGATTGCCTGCGAGCAACCCCGTGTTGATAAAAGAGGGATGGATTTCCAAGTCAAATATGCCGAGTGTGCGAATCGGGCATAAAATGGCTCTTCATTTTCATTGCTGGTGTAGAGATCTCGGTCTGAAGCAAACTCACACATAGCTCGAGTAATCCTTCTGCATTGCGGGCAGAGGGTCGCCCGAACCTCGCCGTTGCCACCGACGTGGCAGGGTATGTCAGGCAGTCAATTCAGCTTTGATCGTACAGTGTGCGTTACTCCGTCGCATAGCATAGGGTGAACAATGAGTCATCTTCACGCAGACGGCAACGTGAACCTTGTGCGGGTATGACTTGATGTGCATGAGTGCTCTCACGTGGGTACCGGACTGTTTCTCCTCTCGCCAAAGGCACTCCACCACAGGGCAAGCTTCTACCGCCCAGGCCGCCACGCAGCGTACCGCGCCGGCCATAATCCCCTTGCTCGCCTTCTTGGCGCACGCAAAGTCTCCGAGAGATACCTGACGGTAGAAACATAGAGTAAGCACCGCAGGCAGATAAGCCATTCATACATACATGTGGCGTGACAAACCGAGAATAAGAGGATGAGAGGGTTGCCGACAGCACACCAATGTAGGTCGACTTGTATATGTAGGGGGGCATCAACTCTACTCTTCTCGCCCTAGACGCCCCCGCACGAATCAATACACCGAAATTTGGCCGATGTGTCCAAAGACACCCGCATCGGCAAAACACAACAATGGATAACCGCAGGGATTTTAGTTTTGAAGATATAAAACAAACATCAACACACCTGCCCCTGTCGCGCTACAGGTCTCCACACAACGAAGCCGGTCGCTTTGTCTTGATGGACCACGCGGAACTTCGCAGGCTTGGACACCATACAACCGGTCGCGTCCGCCCGGACAACGACGGCTCCTGGTGGGGGAGATAGCCCTCGACTCGCCACGTCGCCGACGCTGAACCATCCCGGCGGTGCCTTGGGCCTCCAGATAGATATCGTCTGTGCAGCGATCCAGAGTCAAAGAAACCAAGAAACAAAATACTCAGGAGGGATAGTAGGTACATTGCAGGCTGCAAAAGGTATGTGCCATGGTAAGCGAGCAAAGTGGTTCACCGGTGCGGCACGTCTTGTATCATGAAACACAAACACAGGCAAAACAAAACCTACCTGGGGCCCAAACGTCGAGTTTGCTGAAGGAGGATTACCGCTCCTCGTACGTCCACCGAAGCGGCAAATCAGTTCCAGGTCCCTCACTACCCTGTAGTGCACCCCGCGCAGAGGGTCCACCACAAAACGAAAGCCCCAATCATCTGGCACGGCCCCGCTCGCTGCAGAGCTCACTTTCGCCTCAGGAGCGAAGGTCACTCTCTTGTCACCCGTTTGTGCTGATGCCGCTCCTGTCAGGGCTGAGGTAGAAGGCATCCAGTACACACGCGGACAAGTACAGCGCGGGAGCAGTCAGAGAATGGCAAAATGACCTCCGAACAATTGTGAGGGGTGCAACAAGTGAGGGTCCATCGGGCGGGCGCAAAAGTACGGCAACAACAAAACGCATCGAAAGTGGCAATAGCACAACGCTTGTGTGGGCATGGCGTTTCCTGTAGATGGGCCGAAGGATACAACAGAAACAACTATCGTAGAGTGCTCCCAGACCAACTAACTGACAGAGCCTAGAGGACTCAACACCCATGATCTCACCGGCAATCTCCTGCTCGCCCCCTTGCTCGTCGCGAAGGATCACTGGCAGAAACCCCTGCCCTGGAGGGGGGAACTTGAACGGCTTTGTTCCGAAGTTGACAGACACACACGACTCGCCGCGCACCGAAAAACACGGAGTGATGCCATTGCTGAGGCCGCCGCCATGCCCCCACCCGAGCTTTTTCAGCATGACCGCACTCTCTTGTTCACCGAGGTTTCCCCCTGCCCATCGCCCATTTACCGAGAACCACACCGCGCCAGAATCGACATCAATCGCACACCCAAGCACGTCCGACGAAGAGAAGCCGGCGGCCTTCTGCTCCCTTGGATGGCCACCGAGCCAAACACCTCCCTCTTGTCCGAGCCCTACCCCAAGGTTGCTCGCGTCCGAACCAAGAATCGGGAACGTCACGCCCTTCCACTTTGCCTTCTTCCTCAAGCGCTCGTCGTTGTCGGCTGTGGCTGACGACGCCGAGGCTCCCTCTGGGCTACCGGTGGTCGACCGTGGCACTTCCTCGCCCGTGTCTGAGCGCTTGGATTCGTCCTCCGGTGCCGAAAGTGAGCTTTCCACTGATTCACTCAGCCACGAAACCGTGCGCATCAGTGGACCCGGCACATGCCCTCCACCCTGTACTTGAGCTGGACTTTGCAACTGCCCCGCTCCCTCCAGAGCTTCGGAAGAAGCGCGGGCTTCCATGACACCTTCCGTTCCCACGCCACTAGGTTCGCCCACCGAACTCGAATCACCCACCTTCCAGACATCCCCGGCTCGGAGCGACACGGGTAGATCCACGTGAGCCCAACCGACGCGAACAAGGCCGTCGTCCGCGTCCTCCCCGTCGGGCGTAGATCCGACCAAAGACCCGACGGTGGCTTCGTAAAACCACCTGCCACTGGTAAGGCACACGTCGGCAGCCGTCGCGAGACACCCGGGTAGTTCCGCAATGCCTTGCCTTCGAGACTCGCTCGACCTTGAGCCATCCTGATCCTGAACGTGGGCTGGAGAAGACGAGTCATCACCACGTTCCCGTTCCTCGCCTACACAAGTGAAAAGCGCCTGCAGTCCCAGTTCTTCCTGGATCAAGTCTTCGTCGCGGTCACAGCATGCGGCTGTGGCTGTGGCTGTGCTGGGGGTGTCGGCACTCCCGCTAGCTCTCACCACGCCTGGTGTGGCAGGGGCGAGTGACCCAAACACAGATGCGACCTGGATGAGTGGCTTCTCGGCCCCGGGAGGAGCGTCGAAGCGGAACCATAGCTCATGAACCCCCGGCAGCGCGAACGACCGGAACGAACTCCCTAGGTTAGTTGGCGCGGGGGTTTCCTTCGACCGCGTCTTCCGCCTAGCCATCATCTGGCTGTGTGCCTCGCACATCGCTCTCGTCATGGCTCGGGATGTGAGCACATGCCGCCGAGAAGAACCAGACGGTCCAGGCGAGCTGCCAGGACCGATGCTAGATGCTCGCTCCTGCTGTGGTACCGAGGCAGGCGGCACCGGCGGCGGTGGCGGCGGCGGCGGCGGCGGCAGCTGCTGTGGCGGCAGTTGCAACGGCAGCGGCGGCGGCAGCGGAGGCGTGAGACGAGCCAAAGCGCCCAAAGACAGCAACTCCTTTGCGCTAGGAGAGGCCGATTCGTAACAGGTGCTGTCGGCCTCCTCGATCTTGAAGAACTCCATTCCCTTCGCCTTCGCGCGAGCTGCACGCTCCACCGCGTGTCCGTGCATGACACGGACTGGGTCGCGCTCGTTGAGCATGTCTTCCTTCGACGAGAAGAATCGAAGACGGACGAGGTCAGATGGAGTACGGCTGCGGGAGTCTAGCTTGATGACCATGCCCAGACAGTGTGGGTCCACTTTGATGTGCCCTCCGTACGACAAGGGTGTACATATCGGGTGGAGAGACTCGTGGGTGATGCTCTCCGTTGCAAGTGCTCCCTCCTCAATTGCTGCTGCACCACCACTCTCGTTGTTCGTCGTTTTCCCTGTCGGTGCCAAGCCGTGGGTTTCGGAGTGTTCACGGGGAGGCCAGCCCCCACTGAACATGACCTGCGATGTGGTAGTCAAAGTGTTGAATGAGTCCAACACCTCCTGCGCCAGCATTTCGCCCAGGACCGCACTTCCAGTTCCTTGCTCCTCACCGGAGATCCATTGCTCGGGTGAGTCCATCACCTTGCGCCACAGCATCTTCAACGAGAAGACGTAAAAAAGAGAGAGGACAGACAGAGGACGTCAAAAGCCGGCCTCGGAGAGGTTACATACTTACAGTACACATCCATTGAGGTCAAAGCCGTCGGCACTACACCAGTACCACTGCTGTACCCGGGTGGAGCGTTCGTGCAGGTAGGTGTGACAAACAGCATGAATCTACCATATTACCAGTATTACTTCTAGTGAACACACGTCGGCACTCGACCGGCTAGGTCTGTGAGCATCACCTTTAGCAAGGAATCCTGATCTGATGGCGGCTTGTATACAAGCTTGCTGCCGCGTCGCGGTAGCATGGGCCCGCCGTGTTGGTCACCAGCGACTGACCCCACCGACGCTTGGTCAGCGTCATTCCCACCGTCATCAGACACGCTCCCGAATGACGCTGGAGCCTTGCCTTTCGCCAAGTCTTGAGCAGCAAGCAGGCGCGTGATGTTGAGGAGCCCATGCGGCCCACCCGCTGCTGAAACTGCTGGTGTAGGGATGCTCTGGATGAGACGCACCAAAAGGCTTCTTGCTCGAAGCGTAGCAAGGGCCTTGTCTGTATCGCCCAATAACTGCAGCAAGGTGCGCAAGACAGTCAGCATGTCAGCATGGACGTGGAGAGGTTGGGGTGCATAATGGGGATGCGCCGTGCTGCACAAAACGAATCTGACATCAGGTGGCACGAGATATCTCCACAAATAACACCCGCACGCACACCTGAACACGCTTGCTATCGTCAATTGTTCCGAGATTCAAGCGTAAGCCTGAGAACAAGATACCGGGCGGAACACAGCGGGCACTTCAAACTTCAAACACTCGCAAGCGGCGGCCAAATACCTAAAAAAAAACGGGGGAAATCCCCCCCAGGGACAGGGCAGAAACGGGCACGAAAAAGACTTCCCATTGGCCGGCAACACGTAACACCTATTCTGAATCTCAACACGTCCTGCTCCGTGCTCTGAAGCGAGGCCAACCGCCCAGGGACGTTTCACGCCATGTTTCGGGTTCGCTGTTCGTGCTTTGCACCAAGGGGAATTGTCACCAGGGGTGTTTGCCCCGTGCAATTCGCAACACCAGGAGGAACGGTGAAAATATGCCGTGAACACGACTGCTGTCCCAGATACATACCTGTTTCACGGTATTCCCTCCGCTGTCCAGCTCCCGTCCGAAAAAAGAAGTGGAGTGTCTCAGGTCCCCTACGGGTACCCGTTTCCCGAGGCACAGCCCCGTTTCACCGTCCATCATCTCCACCAGCACTTCATCGTTGTCCACCACGGAAGCATTCGCCGCTTGTGGAGGCGACCACCGATTGGCTTCAACAGTCTTAGAGGGCCTAGTGACACTTGCTCGTTCCGCACGGCATTCGCCCTCACGGCGCGCGTCCATGTCGCCTGCGCTGGGCTTGTCCCGAGCAACCCCACCCGTTCGTCCCGACCCCGCCGAGAAGTCCATTTCACTTGCGACGGTCACGCAAGGGCACGACTTGTCAGGAGCATAGCCCTCACCCGCCGTGACCACTAGCATACTGCCAGGCTCAAGGAGATCCACCTCTCGCACCAGGCTACTGGTCGTCACAGCAGTACCTGTCGTGCCCCCAATCTCGGTCGGTGGGCGGGGCAGGCCCAAGACAGGTACAAGATCATGCTCGCAAACGAGGCCAGCGCACTGAAAACGGGGAAACGATGAGAGAGCGACGACAGCCATCAAGCCGTCAGTTTGATGCTCCAAACACTGGAAGGTGTACGTCGACGGATCTCAAAAATAGACTGCACCAGTGTACACAAAGCAAGTACATGACACGTGGCAGCGATAAACGTCTAGGGATCCTAATCGCACGACCGCTCAGCATCAAGAACAAACATACGGGGATCGAACTACGAGGTGCATTGATGAATGAAAAATCAACCCATGGACCGCACGCGCATCGAAACAGGAGCGGAACAAAGCGCTATACTAGTATACGTATCATGGCACTCGCTGATGATTGGTGCATAACAACGGATTTGAAAGGCCGAAACCTCTTGGCTGACAAGAAGACACGCCAAAAAGCAGTGGAGTTGCACCAAAAAAGCACATCAAAGCCCACCGTGCGGAGGTTGCCATCACCTGCATTGATATCATATCACAAGGCGTTGTTGCCTCTTGGACTCCCCCTTCCGACTCCCACAGGTTGAGCCCTTCGTCAGCTGACGGGACGCTTGCCGCTTCACCACCACCCCTTGGAGGCCCTGATTCATCCGCCCCAATAAGGCCGCTGACAATGTTGTCCTCGGTCGTCGTGTCTGATGCCCCGTTAGTACCGTTCTCACTAGCCCCTGAAGGAAGAGAGGATGACTTCGCCGACACCTTGCCCTCACCGCCGGTCAGCTGCCAAATCGCCAAGAGATAAAACCGGCAGCACTATGAGAACGTCGACAAGCCACGCAGTAGGTAAGCCCGCATGAGTGAATATTTGAGCCTCATCGGAACATGAGGATATCGTGATACCAAGAGCAACCACAAAGAGCGCCTGGCCCAAACGCACCTGTGCGGGGTGCTGCGAATTCTGCAGCCACATGCGGGCTTTGTGGGTATCCGCACCAAACGCTTCTAGAGCGGACAGGGCCGTTTCGCCAGGTACTCCGACTTCCGAAGACAAACGGGCACTGAGCTCATGTCTCTCTGCGCGAGCTTCAGAGCCGAACTCGAGCAGGTGTGTGATAGAGAAACCCGCAGATGCTTGTGTTGGTCTCGCCCCCACCGCGTGCTGTTCTCCACATTGCGCTAGAGCAGGTGTGCTCCTTCCCTCGCTAGGAGCGCCACGTGGAGGTTCCGGCCCCGGGCGGGGTATCCGTTCAGAATCAGTGGCTTCATCCGTGCTCAAGACGCAGCCACGATTGTCCACGTTGCTTGTGTTGTTCTCCTGCTAACAGTGTTTTCCAAGGTGAAACCTCCAAAGTTAAATTACATGGCCAGAAGGTTGCTTGCCGGTTTCGTCTCGACAACGAACAAAAAATTAAAACATGGGCTCTAAGCAACAATGCAGGCACGCTGGAGGCCTTTCCGAGCCGTGTAGTGGCCAGGGGACGGGTCATGGGAGAAGGTAGGTGTTATGCATACTGTAGGGCCAGCCACGTCCTGCAGCTGCTATGCAGTACAGTTCTCAAGCTGCGTTCATTGCCGACAACTCGACATGCAGGACTCTCTCACAACTGGGCACTGTTTCAAAATAATTCCAACGCGTACCTTCGAAAAATTACATTCGAGTCGGTACCACCGAGCTTCGTAGCTGGTGTTCTCCGCCAGTGCCACCAAATACGACCGACCGAGAAGCAAATGTTTAACAGGCATAATTACCGTGGGCACATAAAAATGTGGTTAAGGCAGGGTCTCACCGTTTCGTCTCCATCCTGGCTAGTATCGCCACTGTCTGCGCTTGCAGCGCTGCCCCCTTCGAGGCCGGGGGCCTCTCTTCCTTCCGTCCCTTCGCCATCGGCGCCGTCGTTGAACTCTACCAACAACGCGCCCGACTCGTCCTCCCCATACTCCGCAAACCCTTCCAAGCCTTCCAAGCCGTCGTAGTCTAGCAAACCCCTCGCGGCGGCCCTTCGAGGGTCTAACCGGGACTCTGCGGATGCTGCACGTCTACCTCGGGCAGCCATTCGATGGCTCAAGTCGCTCCTCATTAGCCGTCGACGGCTTCCCTCGCGCCGTGAATCATCCTCATCTCTCGTCACGCGCCCTGCCCAGTCTAGAGCCCCGCGCACCCCTACCACACGCCTGCCGGACATACCGGACCCCCAGCCCCGCCCCCATCCTCTATGCGGGCTTGGGTCCCCCAGAGTCATGAGCCGACCTCGTCCACCACTTCGAGCCGATCGCGCCACTTCCAGGATAGGGTCGCTGTACTCGATCTGTCGGCGCGGATGCAACAGGGCCTCTTCTCTCGACTCCTCGGCGGACAACGCATCCCTACCATCCGTGGGGGAATGGGCAGGGCGTCCCGTCGGTGCAATCGCTTTGTCGCGGCTCTCCATCCTCGTGGTGGGTGCTTCAGGAGGCGGCGGCAGTGGATGTCGCTGGATGGGCCGCAAAGTGCGAAGACCGCCATGTCCCAGGCGCAGGGCCGAAAGCATCCTGGCTTGCGCCGAACGCCATCGCCCTTCGAAATCCTGGATACCCATGCCATAATGTACCAAATATCATCGCCGGTCAGCGTCGACTTCGTCAGCTCATGGGAGGAGGTCAGCGTGCGTGTGTTGGAGGCTGGGGGGGGGGGATCACGCCTCGAGGAACAAGCAGTTCGCGCTACAACACTCCACACAAAGTACGGCGTCAGTCATGTGGACAAACACTGTAAACTTCGGGTTGGAATTGGTGAGATTGGTGAGTAATGCTGTAGGCCAACGCGAAGAATTTGCACCTGTGCCGTGATGAGGGCGGGAAGTTGAACAGGGCACACCGCCACCTCGAACAAATGGGGTAGAACGTTGGCGACCACATCGCCCTCTCGACATGCCGCAACCACGGCGTCACTGCATTGCACAGATAGCTGCAGAACGGCCATCAGGCATTGTGACAGCACCCTCAACCACACCATGGCACGTGCGTCGACAATTTTCAACGCTTGAGACACCTCGTTCGAGTGAAGCAGGGCAGCGAGCAGGGAAAGAAGCTGCGCCACAACAGGTTGCGCCGGGGTGTCTGGGTCGGCACAAAAGCCTACTCCTGCAGTTTCGAGATCTCGAACCAGGACCCTCTCGCAATTCTCAACATTCTCGCCATCGAACACAACTCCAGCTGCTGCATCACCAGCCGAAAACAGCACCACAGTCCCACGCACGCCAGACCTGTCTCGAACCACAGTTTACACGCACAGGAGGCAAAGGGGGGGGAGAAGGGAGCCGTCAAGATTCCTAACCCAAGGGGCGCGGAGCCAGTCGAGGCTGTGACCGTCACCAAGCTTCCATCCATTGAAAGCCACTGAACCACAAAATAATTTGCACCTTCAGTTTGGTTCACGTATGTAGCGGGAAAAATATTCGGACCCTCTAATGGAGCAGCTTATGTAAAGAGTGACAAGTCGAAAAGTCTGAGGCCCTTCGTAATTTTTCGCGCCGATGACCGCCAAGATTGGCCTTTGCCTGGGGCGATTTGCATCTGGACGAACTCGGTCCGACCGCCAGGCCCGACATGATCTATAGTACCCCCAAGTTCCGTAGGGACCGTCTTGGTTGCCCTGCCATTTCCACATCTGATTGTAACCTAGGTCGACGCGGGTGGTTGGTGCCTGGTTAGCGAAAGTCCGACCAGCCAGAGCCCCCCAGTAGAGCAAGGGGTGTACGGGATGCGTGCTTGCTTTCTCTTTTCATGCCATGAAAGCTCTCTCACGCCTCTGGGGCGTGGGAGGAATGGGTCTAGCATGCGGGAAACCCGACGATGATCACTCCTTGGCTTGGTTAGGGTGCGGGGATAAGCTTCTTCAGGCTCGGTTCTAGCAGATATCGTAGCGTTTGTCTCTGTGCTCTGTCTCGGAGTCGGAGAGGCAGGCTCCACTTTCCTTGCGAGTCATCTGCACTACTAAGAGTGCATTGTGCTGCAATCCCGTGTTTAGGAACTTTCGGTTTATTGCTAGTGTCGGACTTTGCCTGGTTCTTTCATTGTATTATTACCATGGTTTATCATCGCAAACCGAATAACCACAAACACAACAAAAACCTGAAGCCCACACCCCACCAAATCGAATATCTTGCTAACAATTAATTGCGCTGGAACGATTGTGCTCACTTGGACTGAACTTTGGCTCCCGGGTACAAGACACCGGAGCCGCCAGCGATGATCGCCAGCGCGGCCACCGCGTCCGATATGACGTCCGGTAATGCTTGCCCCGTGGGAGAAGAACACGGGGAGCCCGTGCGTGGCCCATCCACGTCCGGGCTTGTAGAAGATGTGCGGATGCTAGATGCTGCCGTTCGAATGCTTAGCAATAGCTTCCGCGCGATACGCTCCTTCCAGGCAGGCTCCTACCGAAAGGCGCGCAACCATGGGGCACGCAGAGTTGGCAATGAAAAAATCGTGTCGTACTTCTCGGTCTCAGTGTTGTACTGGTCTTCTTGGCATGGCTCAATAAAGCGGATTCCAAGCAAGTCCAGAAACGAACGACATGCCTTTTGTTGCCGATACAACCACATAGGGAGTAGGAAATAGATCACTACACGCTCACTCGTGTAACTCGCGAGGTTGGGAGAGCAACCACCGCCATGATACAAGCTCTGGTTCGCCATTCGCCAACTATAACGGTGAGACGCCTAAGACAGAATCGTCTGCAGCAGCTGCTACACCGTTCACTATTGCGTTATCAGTCTGACGCCGAAACATGACATCAGCCCAAGACATCACGAACACGTTTGACGGCAGGTTCATCGACATGATAGCACCCGTACCTTGTACAACTCTCGAAGGAGCGAGCTGCACTGCTCCGCTAGACACACATCCAGAGTGCCACCGCCAAAACCGTGGTTGCAGCCGGGAGCGAGCCAACCTTGCCCCCTGCTGCTCTGGTCCTTTGCCGAGTCATTCCCCACGTGCATTCCTGCTCCTGTGTCAACCGTTCCGGCACTATCCGACGGCGCGTTCCCAGGTAGAGATGGCGGAGTGGAGTAGGCATGTCTTACAGTGGAGAAGAGCACTCCTACAAGACCGTCCGCAGGGTAGGATGATTGGCCGACACCAACAACCTCTCGGTCCTTCCTCGACCCAGGCCCCGATGAAGTGCTGTGATAAACAATGGCAAAGGCATTCAAGTGAAAACACGAACGACGCCGGATGCAAGGCAAAACATGAGTCATACATGTACTACAACTTCCGACATCAACGCAAAAACAACAAATATCAATCACGTGAGAATGAAAAACGATATGCTTGTGTGCGTACAGGAGTGCATGCGATGTGTGCAAAGTTGATCCGGCAATGGGCGTTAAAAACAGAAAACAGCATGAATCAGGAAGCCGTTCGAAATACTCTTCTCAGTGTGGAAGACACAAAAACAACGAGCGCTGGGCCGTATCCCTACAACATCGCAAAGAAGCAAAACCCGGCTAGATCATGGCCGCGCTTACCTGCTGGTGGCGACCCCTGTTTGGTTCCGCCCCCTCCAGCCTTGTGGAAGGTAGTCGTCTACGACAGTGGGCTCCATGCCTGGAAGAACAGCTCCAAGAAGCAGCAGCACGCATCTGTCGCACGTGGAAACACACGGAATCGAGAATCAGATAGGCTGTATCTGGGGATATGAAAACGGGATTGCGGTTCGCGACTTGAATCATTGCCCGTATGTCGCGCAACACATTTTGTAGAATGCACCAATCAAAGGCCAGACGACCGAGATGTGCCTGCTTTGTCCGTAAATGTCACTTGGAGGGCCAAACGGATACACACCCAATCAGACAGCAGTGACATCACCTCTGAATTCGAGGCGATCCAACCTTGAGCAACGAAAAAATAGATCGAAGCGCTGACGGGTGCGCCAGCTGTGTTCGAGCAATGGCGTACTGGCGAACGGAGCACAACAGAGCCAGTTGCCTGAACATGTGGGGCTCCACTTCTCCGACCTCCAGCGCCAACAAGCCAAGGGTTTGGGCTGAAGCGTCCTCTCTTTCGCGTCCGAAACCAGCTGTCCCACCTAAACCCTTCCATGCGATGCTGCCGTTCCACCTGCCAGCGGCGGCCTGGGTGTGCCCATGGCTATAGCTGCGCTGCATCTCCGGCTTGACTGCTCGTCCTACCACAAGCGGCTTGCCAACAGAGGGTGCCTTCGAGTCACCATCGAACGCCATGACGTTCTGATTCGCCAACTCTCTAGCTTCCATGCGGCTCGACGTGCTGACGATGTGCTCAAGGCTCAGAGCTCCCAGACGAAGCTCACGAAGGATGAGGTCGAAAACGTCCTGCGTGCCGGTAGCGTTTAACCACGCAACGCACGGGAATCATTTCGAGAGGTCGTGCCCAGTTTCTACTGTTATCCGGCCTTGGAAACATTGGACTATGCGCCGTGCATTCATCGCAATCACGCTTGATAGGATTGTCTATTTGAAAGCATTCATGATCGTTCAAGTACACGCTGTAGACGCTCATCATATCTGATCTCATATCACCACAACCAAGAGATACTTTGGACAGTACACACATTGGACAGTACACACAAATACACGTGGCGCAAGAACGTACCTGGTGAAGATTGTCCACATGCGTCTGCATTTGCTTCAAAGGAGTGCCGTACATTGACCGCTCTCTCGTGGGCGGCAAAGCCGCCGCCGCCGCCGTTCCACCATCTACGTTGGGGCTCGACCGCTCCTGCCCTCCTCTCTCTATCTGACGTGTGTTCTCCGGTTGCCTAGGCTCCTCGTTGCTGGAGGCTTGTAGTCCCACCTCTTCCGACCTCACCGAAGACGCCAGGGGGGCCTGTCGCATGCTCACCGCCACCAGGAAGCGCAGCAAGCTAGAAGCACCTCTTTGCAGCACTCTCATCGACGGCACCATCATCTGCGGCGTGATCTCCTTTTGCGCATGATCTATTGGACCAGCTTCGGCTTGCTCCCCGAGGTGCTTCTCACTCCGGGCCGTGTCATCATCCGTTGGGCTTCGTTCCTTCTCTTCTGCTAGTCCGCCTTCAGTCTTTTCTTCGTCCGCGGTCTGGTCGCCGTCGTCGACAACATTGTTTGCCTTGTCCTCTGCGGGACTGAGATCCTGTGCTTCCCGCTGCAACAGTTTGCGTTCGGCAAGCACTGCCGGAGATATGACTACCTCAGGACCCTGTTGCACAGAACACAAGCGGGTCGAGTCGTTTCGTCTCTTGGTATCTATGCAAAAGGGTGTTGAACTTATTTTCTCGTGCGATATGCGCCATGTCAAGAAAAAATGGGGGTCTTCGGCATCCTAGCAACCACAATAGAGAGCGTTCAACAACGATGTCTTTCTGCAATAGGCGACACGCATGGTTTCTATGCGGCGTGCACAATGATAGGTTTCGACTTCGCAACGTTGCAGTGCTCACTCTTACCTCGTACGCGAACGGCACAACCCCGAAGTTGATGCGGACGCTTTCACCGTTGCTGTGAAACCCTACCACCGGGACCAAGTTAGATTCGTAAACTGGAACGAATCCATCCCCTAGCAGCTCGCCATTTCGAGTATACCTGGACAGCAATATGGCGCCCAAACAGTTCATTGAACCATGGATACGCCAAAAATATACTTGACGGCGTGCTGTGTTGAATTTAATATTAACGACAGCAGTGTAAGCAGCATGGCTCACGAACGCGTTCGACGCACACTTTCGGTCTTTGTCAAACCACGAACAACGAGGCCGCGCTCTCACCATATGCTGCCGCGAACTGAATCAAACCCGCAGCCGATGACGTCACCGTCCACCCAGGTTGGCCAGATGCTATCTGTTTTCGCCCGCCCGAACAACCGCCCGTCGTCTCCATGGTAACCGTACGAGTGGTCGACCCACCCGGGCATCTGTTTGGTGGCCGGAAACACATCGGGGTCGGCCAGGCCAATGCCGATGGTAGTCTTTTCGCCTGGGTTCATCACCGTCACCTCAAAGTAGTTGCCGCTGTTTGAAGATGGCGCAACACCGGAAAGTGCTGCCCCAGCCGGCGTACAGGCATAGGTAACGCCCCGGGCGAAGGTACAAGCTACGGATGCCACTGCCGGCACCGTCGCCCACGAACACAGCGCCGTCAGCTGCACTTCAGGGGACTTCTTGCCTTCACGCTCATCGAGGACCGGGACCCCGCGGGCCACCATCTGAGTCACGCGTTCACGCCCGACTTCCTGCGCTCGAGAGGGGAGAAGCGTACCGAGGAAGAGCGACATGCCACAGCGGTAGCGGGGGTGCACTTCAGACAACAGACCAGCAAAGGGTGCAAGGCTGCGAAAAGAGCAAGAACGCACTTCATCTGTCAAGATCGATACTTGTACGACATATGACAAAGCGTTCACAGCATCGGCGCTCGAGCTGACGTCCACAGAGAAACATGTGCCCGATGCATACCATGCTATAAACCCACATTTTCCTGGGCCTCGATCACGCACCTCTAAGCGCTTTCGCCTCGACGCCGCTTCCTGGTCCATCTTCGTCACCCTCGCTTCAGTATGCTTGAGATGAACGCGCAACAGTGCACTGTACCTCCGCAGGAGAGCCGCCATAGAGTGTCGCCCCAATATGTCGGACGCAGACCCGTGCAAGCCAGCCGCTTCGAGGAACCCCGAGGGTAGGGCTGACGGTGGGATACGGCTGATATGGCGTGCCACATCACGTGCCATGAGTGTGCCCTGCACCAGTCCGTGTCCGTAGGGAGGGGGGGAGGGAGGGAGGGAGGGAGAAAAAGCCCGTCATACATAAATATTAATAGTACTCCGAGCATCAATCAAACCAACGGACGCCACCAAAACACCCTTCACAACCATGCGCCCTCACAATACTTGATCACCATAATCTGTATTCCCTTACAAACAACACGGTCGATTCTATAACAGCACCATTCGGTTTCATGCCCTCATCGCGTCACACCTGCAAGAAGCCACTCCTTACGGTCTCCAGCGACCAAGGGGTCCAGCTCTGGAGCGCCGTCGCCGAGGTTTTCGAATCCATTGTGTCCTTCTGAGGCCCGCGAGATGTATCGCGAGATGTATCGCGAGATGTATCGCTGAGGCTGTCAAGGCTAGAGCTGGCCAATGACGCCGTGTTCGTGAGAGTCACCATCGCCTGGAGAGTGGGAAGAATCCCGGACTTGTGCGCCAGGAATTGGTAGTCGCGCGATTCGAAGTCCAAAGCCCAGCTTGTCATTAGCACATGGGCCAACCCGGGCTTCACCGGCGACGACGCGACAACGACACCGACGAGAGACCACGACACCAAAGCCCAGAGACAGAACGGGCGAAAATGCACGAGTCAGCACATCGTGATAGGGGTTACATTGAGCAACACGGAGGCGAGTCTATTTATCGCGAGGCCTGAGTTCGTTTCAGACAACGATGGCACTTGAGAGCGGTCACCTGTCCCGTGCGCAGGCTATCATCGAGCAACGTTCTCAGCAGTCCATAGAGGTCTTCAAAAGCACCCTGCACTCGTGCCAGCAAACCCGCGGAGCACCCTTCGAGCCCCTTGAGGTAGTGATGCCGAGTGTCACGCGCGTCGCTGGTTATTTCCACCTGGCGCGGCATGGATGGACAAGAGGAATAGATGGTAAATGCTACCGTGAGTTACACGCAGCACGAAACAAGTGGCGAGTTCAGTCGCCTACAGACGAGACTTTCGGCGATTCACCAGCACACCACTAGGTGGCTCGCAGCTCTGACACCCGCCACTCTGTGCGCGGTACTCGGCCTTACCTCCCTTCCTTCCTTGTCCCGCTTGATTCGCAGCCCTTGGAAAGCTGGTCTCAGGAATACAAGCGCTTCCTGTTCACAAGAGCAGGGCAAACCGTCCACGAAAAACAAATCAGTGGCCTTCGAGAGTGTACTTAATAAGGGCGCCATGTCGGTACACGAACCGGTAAATGGTGCAGTATTGGCCCATCTGCTATTGAGTACGCTTCCAGCTCTCCTCTGGACGAGGGCGGGACAACCTCTTTTCCCTCAACATCGATCAATAGGAAAAAGTACAACGGGTAATGGGCCATGGTCGCACCATGTGGGTAGCAGCACCTTGCGCACTGCACACCTGAGCCCGTCAAGCAACGCAAAGCGGCGATTACCATCAACGGCTTACCTGCACAGCAGACGATGTCCCCACCGACATGGCCCCCCGTTCAGCCGGGGATAGAGTTCCAAGCAACGACGCCAGTGCCTGCAAGCCGAATGTCCGCATGGCAGCCCGAGCAGTACGACTGCGAAGAGATGCCTTGAGGGCTTGCGGTGTTGCGGCCGCACCGCCCGTAACCACGTAGACTGTACATGCCTGGCACGACGGTTGAGTCGGTCGAGAATGGACGTGACATTGCGGTCCGTCACTTCTCAATGAAGCTCACAAGTTGCCTAATCGACATAGGTCGCTCTTGACTCATCTAGGCCTCGTAGGCAGTAGCCAAGTATTCCACGTAGCGTCGCGTATGCTACTGTTAACAGAGTCAGCTATTTTATAATACGTACTGGTACCAAACAGCGCCACCATGGTATTCTCCACTGATATACTCGAGACCCGTCATTGCGTTCGTAGCACCCCCCACAAAAAGCAAATCGAAATCGTAGAAAAAACACCGGCAAATGGTCCGATGAGCAGGGTATATTCAAACTCAAAAGAAGTCCCTCCCCGCTGCCTGTGTGGTGCCGGAGTATACTGTAGTGTGGTCAATTTTCGAAACGCCCCTCCCTTCCCTTGGCGCTGGCGATGGCAAGCTTAAGCCTATGCGCAGAGCATCGTTCCCACCCCGAAAGTGCAACATAGAACATTGACAATTGGTAATTACCCCCATGTGGGTAGAAACCTCCAGCAACAAGACAGGGCGATGTCGCAGGGGAAGCGTCGACCATACAGCCCTTCTCACCTGGATAGCTGCACTCGCAGCGGTCTCGTTATCAAGGAGGGGCCCGTTCCCTGAATCGTCAGAATCGTCGCCTGAACTGCAGACGCTGCTGTCTTCACCCACTAGCCCCAAGCTGCAGGTACGGGCTCGCGACGAGTCATGAGCAAGTGAAGAAGAAGACTCTTCTTCGGCAAATGCTTGGCCCTCTTCGATGCACAGGTTGTTCACGTTCCGCCTGGGACCACCGCACGAGTAGATCCTGGCTGGATAAGACTGTGGCCAACACACAATCACGACAATATCTGCCAGCAGCCCATCAGGCTACAAACTCTTCCTCGGCAACAAGCATCCATGGACATGGACATGGACAAAGTCAGTACACCGCAACGAGGGTGCGGATCTTAGGAACGGCCAAGGCTCCAGCACACTGCTTGCTGTATGTACAAGTAATCATTTCGGAAAACTCACTCGGACCCGTGACCGTGACTGTGACCGTGGAGCACCGCTATCTCCGCGGGTCTGTTCCCCAAGCTCTTGGCACGCGGACGATGGGCGCTGGACAAGCTTCGTCGAAGCTGTAAACACCGTTCAACGTCGCGATCGCGTGCGAGAAACAGGGGAAGGTCAGAAACAGGGGGAGGGCAGCCGCTGCTTAACGTCGTGTCGCTTAGTTTGTCAGGATGCTGTTCGGTGCGCGTGAACAAACAATTTGACGCGAAACAGCAGTCCAACCGAGGAACCCACGCGGGGCGCCCCGTCTGTCACCTGGCTTCGGACGCGCAGCACGTCAACTACCCCTTTCCATCGCTCGTTCCCCCGGTCCTCGGAACGCCATCGCAGCAGGCGAGACTGTAACTTCCTGGGAGATGGCGTTGCAAGATCCGATATCTCCTCTGCCAAATGCTGCATGAGAGCCGACGTGCCTTCGGCAGCGGCACTAGGAGATTGAACCGTCGAAGGTGACAACTGTCGGCAACAGAGCACAAAGAAGTAGAGCACACGCAATCCACGAGCGGTTGTGGGTGAAGCAGAGGGTGGAAAGATGCCACACGTGTGTCGAGCTACACGGATATTGAGCAGCGGGGCGTGCCCAGAGTAACAGCTTTGCAGTGAAGACCTAATCGCCTCGAAGTTAGGCTTATCAAAAATCACCTCCAGCAAAAACTTCGCTCTCTCCGCCATCTGGTGACACAGGTCATCGAAAGTCGAAGGGACTGCCTCCCGATCGACCGCTTGTGCATCGCTCGATAACGCCTCCTTCTCTTCCGCTTCCGCCTCGACGTCATTCTTTTCGTCCTGCACGACTTCACCAGCTTCAGGCATGTCTTCAGTTTCACGGTTTAGAGCTCCTCCGCCTTTGGCAATATCGGCTTCGCTCGAAGTGCCTTCCACTGCTGTCACCTGAGACAGGCCAGGACGTCGAGAGTATAACGGCAACACTCGGTACTTTCTTCAAGAGTCATACGCGGCAGAGTGGTTGACGGTCACGTGCCCGCCACACAAGCCAGATGCGTGTTGCGAGATTCCATGTTAACAGTTAACAGGCAGTGGGTTAGCAGTGCTCACCTTGTACTCCTGCTTTTGAGTCCGCAGAAATGCTCGTAGCTGCCGAACCCGCGCCCAGAGTTTCGCCATGTCCTTGGTTGGGACTGGTAGGGAAGACCCCATGCCAGCCTCTGTGCACAAGCAAAAACAAAAGTAATGCAGCATGAGTGCCAGGACAACAAAAAACGTGGCACAAGCGATCACCTTCCTGTGGAAAGCCCTTTTGCCGGAACCAACAGTCGTTTACGATTATTTCTCGAACCCTGCCACAAGAATAATACACGCTTCGAGCGATTAACCTCTAACCTCCACAGTTTACTCGCGCCCTGTACACATGTGTCAAACATTAACGTTGTCAACACTTTTCTGGGACCGACCATGAGACGGCTCAGGCCAGGGCCTTCTTGCCTTTGTCTGCCGCCGACATCATCTCTGCAGCGTGAAAGGCCTCGCCCACAAGCCCACCATGCTTGAGCAAAGCCGCTAGAAACGGTGCCTCTACAAGCGGGAACGAATAGCTGTCGGTCTTCTCGAGCGCCACTCGAAGGAAGGCCGGATCGGGATTAGAACGCCCAAGCCAGTCCATCAGATCGGGAAGCAAGGATTCATATCTATCCTCAGGTGCTTTCCTCCTGCCTCCAAGGGAAGAATCTCCCGTGGCAACGCCGACCGAGGGTGGTTCAGCAGTAGAGCACACCACGGGGGAGCTACTAGAGTCGACCCTGCTGGCAGGGCTCGTCACAGCCCCCGTTAAACCCCGCCCAGCGATGCTCTCAAGGAAGTGCTCGAGGCGGGCGTCGATGGGTACAACCTCCACAGACTCGTCGTTTGTCTGAGAGTGTCCATCCTCGCAAACACTCGACAAAGTCGGCACGCCTCCTTGTCTCTGTGGCTGCTGCGCCTCTTGTGGACTTAGAGGCGAAACCGATTCTCGGCGAAATTGTAGCGCGAACACCATCTCGCCGCCACCGGTTAAGCTCAGCACCGTGCGCTTGCTGCCGGCCCCCGACAGGCTTGCTTTTAGCTCACCGCCCAAGTCCACCTCTCCCGCAGCCGTAACCACTCTGCCAACTAATACCTCTACTCGGAGCGCCAAAGCGGGGAGGTACTCGTCCGCGTCTGCGCCGTCGATCAGAGCCCGCATCTGCGGCCAGCGGAGCTCCAGCTCGACTTCCCCCTGCCCTGGACGGCCATCGGCGTGCGTCTTGGGACTTTCCCCTTGGTCTAGTTCTACCCTTTCACGGGACGTCACCGGTGAGCTTGGTTCAGAAACGGTCAGAAGCTCTTCTTGGCAGCTGACTCTTCGACCGTCAACTGTTGCAGTCAGACGAACGCATGGCGCATCTGGCCACAGAACCAACCCCTGTGGCATCTTCGTCGCCTCCACGATCCGCGCTGTGAGGCGAATGCCGCCGTCGGGCACGGACCGCGGTCGTCTATCGCCACTCACGAATTTCTCCTCCACAACGGTGGGATCAAAGTCGGCGCGAGGCATCGCAGGGCGGGCATCACCTAGTCGGCCTTGCTTTTCTGCGCTCCACGCCTGGTCCCACGATCGGTGGCCAAGACGTCGCCACACAGACTCTCCCACCATGTCCTCCGGAGCATTCACTCCCCCGCTGAGCAGTGGCGATCGCAGCCATGGCTCAAGGGCAGTCTCCGCTTCATCTTGGGGGGTTCCTGATCATGACGCCAGGGATAACACAGCAAGCTCGGGCATAGGTTCTCTACGACGATACTAACCAGAAAACCTGCCCGAATACGGGGAGGTGGTGAGATAAACTACTCTTGCATGTTCTTGTGATAGAGTATACATATGACAATTGGTATTTACGTAAAACTTTGGGACACATCGTGCCGATGTATGAGCAGCGTGGAAGTAGTTACCTTCGTGCGATTTCCGAACTCCTGCATACCTGCAATCAAGGTAGCGCACAGTCTGCCCACGAGCGACGCAACCGTCTTGTGCAAGTCGACGGATAGAGGCCACAGCTGCGTGCCCAGCGTGCCTCCGGGTCGAAGTTGGACCATCTGGAACCAAAGCCGCGTGACACAGCAGTCGTAAGCACCGGAATCAAAAGAGGGAGTCACCACTTAATTTTGATGTTGCTCTCTGTACGCACAACACAAAAAAAACACGTGGTCCCTTTCACACGCCATTGCTCGCGGGCGCTGGTATTCAAAGGCAGGGGGGTCAAGCTCGTTCCTAAGCACAACCACTGGGCGCAAGTTACGACAGAAGGGCGCTTTCGCATGTCAGCGCACGAGCAAAGCTCCACACGCAGCATTCCCCGAACTTCAGCAAGGTAAATCTAGCCTACAAACGATCCAATGTACTCAAGGTGTCAACCATCGCGCCGACGTTCGTTCCAACGTTCCAACGAACCTGCTTGTCGTTCGTCAAGCTGCACGACGGAAACAAGGCAGTGCCGGCATCCCATTCAAAAGGTGCCTGCCCATCAGGCAACTCGCAGACGGCCCCAGACCCCGCCGGTCCGAAAGCAATGCCAGCATCCATTCCGTTAACGAGGTAGCGAAGAGTTCCCTCAACAGTATCGGTGACCATGGTGATCACATCCAACGGCTTCAGCGGCAGAAACTCCGATCCGTACAGGGTGTCACCAGCAGCCTGCGCAGGACATGACCCCGCAAGATGGAAGTCAGCGCGCGGGAAAAAAATCGCACTCAACCGTAGCCGCTGCAAGAATGTTCTAAAAAAACGGATCACACCACAGAGAAGTCGTCGAAAAGGCTAGAACGGCGCAATCGAGCTACACCGAGCCCATACAACGTTGTCAACACCGCCGAAGAAGTCAGCTTTCGCTTATCGTAACGAAGAGTTTGCAAAATACGCACCTCAGTCGGAATGAAAACTTTTCCGTGCGCTCGCAGGGATCCGTCCGTCCACCAGCCCCAGCTCCCTCTGAGCTGGCCAATGGGAGCGTCGAGTGAACGAATTGTTCCAGCGCACAGACCGAACGCCATCGGGTACCTCCTTCTGGGGCAAGACGATGGAGAGACCGCGACAGGAATAACCGTCATCAATATCCACCCAAACTACGAAAATGAAAGATGACACGAAACCTCTGGGGGAAAGCAACCTCCCTTTCCACATACCAATACACGATCCTCCTGTGGTCACCACAGCACGGGATCTTTAGTGGCACCAGGCACTTCTGGCACTTCACTTCCCTTTCATTCAGGCTTGCACGGAAGTCAGCCATGGCAAAGGGCGGCAAAAAACAAGCAGATACACGTCTCTGCTCCCAGCCGTGTCGAGTTACACAAAACCACAAAAACTGTCAGATAAACACAAATGAATGATAGGGTATGTCGCGCACTACGCGCTCAATACCTTGTTGAACCGGAGTCGCCAAACGGCTGACAACTGTCCAACTGGCTACGTGCGCGAGCCAGGACCTCCTCACCTGAGCGTGTTTCTGTCCTCGCTGCCGCTTGACTTGGTGCTGCCAACCGCCCTCCTCCTTCTTGCTCCGACCGGTGTCACCTCCATCTCTACGGAATGCTTGCCCTCGAGGGCGGCGAATCCTCGCGTTGCCCGCACCGACACCCAGTCCCACGCATCAACATCGGCAACTACTACTCTTCCCACATCTGCATGGGCATCGGGCGATGTCATGCCCTCCTTAGCCGTCGATCCTGGAGGACCAGCAGTCTGTGAGAGCTCAGCTGTAGTCGAGGGAGCGGAGTCGTTGTCAGAACCACCTTCGCCTTCGCCTTCGAGTTCGGCTTCGGCTTCGGCTTCGGCTTCGGCTTCGGCTTCGGCTTCGGTTTCGGCTCCGGCTCCGGCTTCAGCTTCACTGGGGGAATCAGCCTCGTTCGACACAGCCGGGCGAGTAGGAGCCCATGCTTGATGCAGGCTGCATGATGTGGCCATCCTCTTCATTTCTATGGCCTTCTTGTCGATGGCAACCAGCCCTTTCCGCGTTCGCTTTGAGCACGATGAAGGAGCCCAAGAAATCTTCCAGAAGTTGAGCCACAGATGATAAAGTTGGCCCCCAATTTGACCCATTAGATGCGGGGCGAAACACGTTCATTGGGTCAGTCATCATTAGAAATTAGATTACAGCCACATACAACTGATCTTGTGAGTAAATTATTGTCAATGAGCAGGCATAGAATCGGGCGGAAAGCATTTATACTAGTATTCAGATGTGGTATGACTCGAAACAGTACTCGCAACATACGAGGCACGGCTATTAATACCGTAATACTGTATGGATACAAGCTCCCCGTCTAGGTGTAAAACGCTGAGCCAACCACACAAGGCAACGATTCCTGAGCGAGTCCGACCATGACCGTACGCGTCGGAAGGGTTTCGATATGCACAAGTAACAAATGTGAAAAGGATATCCTGTCGAGTATGGCAAAAGGAGAGACTTACACTGCCACTAAATAGGCTCGGTATGCCCCTATGATCACGCACAACAAACCCCCCGAAATGCCCCGTGCCCATAGAGTTATCGCAGCACGGACATCCTTACCTCCGTTGGGTCCGAGCCAGCAGCTGCGGCGCCAAGATCGCCTCCTCCACCAAGACCGAGCCCTCCCATCATTTCCATCTATTAGAGGCCGGCCATGTCACGAAGGCAAGGGCGCTAGAGAGTTAGACAAATGCTACTGCGAGCAGCGGCCGCCACCACCTTGCATGTTGCGTGTTTTAAGCCGCGTGGAAAACATTTTGCGGTGAGCTCTACCAAGACGTTCCGATTAAACACGCTCTTGCTTCCTGTCGCCACAACACCCGGGTGGGGAGTGTTCCCCGGAGTGCCAGGGCATTTGTAGAACACAAGCTAGGCACCGGCACGAAGAAAACACTTGGCTTCAGAGAACGTAGCGTACGTCGAGGTTTCATGATGATGAGCTGTGTGTGCTACTGTCGGTACACTTTGTGAACAAGTACTCCGGCGTGACACGAAGCTCTTCCAACGCAACAGGGTTCACGCTTACCTTGAGAAGTCGAATCGTAACACCGGACCGATAGCTTCCCGCACAAGGGAATACCTCGCCCTCGACGTCATCAAAGCCTCCGTCTTGTTTCTCACCGTTGACGCTGAAGCAGATTTTTCCGACGAAACGACCAATAAGATGGGCCCAGGTGAGACATAGGGAGCCCGCCATGGTATGGAATGGGCAAGACCAAACTGTTGACAAAAACTCCTCCCTTCGCATGCTGAAAATGCAACACAGGCGAACTGCAGAACGCAACTGTCGGAGACATTTGGCCCGAAAATCGTATGCAAAAACGTAATGGTCCTGGTATGAAGGACAGTTATCACCTGTATCACCTCTACACGTGTCTTCGAAGTGTCTGCGAAGGGCCATCACGGTCCCGGGATGGCTCACCTAAATCTCAGGGTCCCTTCGTCCATGTCGACTTCGCATCGTACCACGTCCCCAGGGTGTATTTTGGACATGCTCTGCCCCGCAGGGAGTTGGCGTCCACGATTGTACAAAACACCGTTGTACGCTCGCCTCATCCACAAAGACTGGCTGGAATTGTAGCAACGGCTGTACGGGGGCTTCGTGGCGATTCCAAACACGGAGCACTCGTCACTGCGTGGGTGAGAGCAGGCCCGACATGGAAAACAGAAAACACAGGGAAATCTGTCAAGAATTACCCTACGCGTCGTCGGCATAAAACCCCTCCCATTAGCAATACTGCTCGGTCAGTTGCACAGCACCAGCACACCTGATTGATCGAAATACCGCACACAGACCAACCGGATGCCTAGCCACATACCGTGGAAGCGGCGTAAAATAACTTGGCATAAGGTACCTTCTGGAACACACAGATTCGTTGTCCCTTGCTTGGTAGACGTACCTGGGGCTATCATCTTCCAGCACGAATTCCCATGCGGCCTTTCCGTGTGATACGCCGACGTCCAAAAGGGCGCATGTGTTGTTTGAGGTCAGTGCCGAATAAAGCTGACCGTCCTCCGATATGGAAAAGGACGTCATGCTATCCTGTGGGCCAAGTACACGCGCGTCCGGGTTCCAGCCATTGTTGGTCGGAGAGTGGTGTGAGATACCGCTACAGCAGTGTACCATCGATTCAAGTCAACGTGCGGCAGAGCGTGCTGAACGTCGCACAAAGCCGCGCAACAGGACATAAGGCATTCGAACGGCTCGATTTTGCAGGCCCATGGCTGCGAGAGTGCATTAGCAGCGTACCATCCGTTCGACAACATAGAGCTGAAGCCAGTAGCTCAACGGCAACAAACAAACACCTCGGTTGAATCCAGTGACCATCGCACAAAAATAAAAACCGCACCGCCGCACGGCAAGCTGTGCTACGGAGCTGCTCGAACTATCGTTCACCGCCGGATGAAATCGGGTTTTCTAAGTTCCACCGGATACAAGGCACGAACACAACACGAACCGGCAGGTTCCTAGGTCCCCCTGCACTTGGGTCACCTTATCCACTTCGAACGACGCCCGGACTGGATGCCATCCAGACGGAGTAAAGGCAAGGCCTTCCTCAGGGTTCGTGAGCTGGGTCCGCCGCAAAATATCTTCTGCGTATGAAGCCGCCGCCGCCTCCCCGGGAATTCTGCTGATACGGTGAGATAGCACCTCCGAAAGACGCACCTAATGCGGCCACAGGGCGGGGATAAGAAAAAGGGATAGACTAGAACGGCATAAGAGCATGGGGTACTCCACGACAGGCAACCCACGTCCCCGGCCGGGAACTCAAGTGCAGCATCGAACGAGTAGAGCACCAGCACTTACCAAAGACGGAAGCATGCCTTCCGCAACCCTGGGGCGGTCCACACACATGCAGAGGCCATGAAGGAACGGTGCGAGCAGTACGCCAACCAGCTTCCACCACGGGCTTTCGTCGTTCTCGGCTTCGGTATCAGTCCATGGACAATCCGCGCTCAGCACGCGGCAGCACACCTATGCATGTGTAGTTGAACGCAACCCGCACATGACATGTTCGGGGACAAACAAGAGCGGTGTGAAGTACATACGTGGGTCACATGTGATAGTGTCAATGAGGGCGTCGTTCGCGCGACTAAAATTTCAAGACACAACTGGTGGGTACATGCAATATACCAAGCGAACGATTCTAGCTAGGCTCCTTTCCATAGGCGACGTGTCAGAGTAATCCCAAGGTCGAGGTAACTTAACGCTACGGAGGGCAGGCAGGGTTTCGCCGTTGATATCTGGGCAAGGAGAGCAAGGAGAGAAAGTCCATGGTCCGCCCGTTCATGCATGCCAGCAAGCAGCACGTGGAACATCCGCGTATCCATCACCCGCCTGCCGAGTTGTCAAGTTTCTCGGAATGCTTCTAAGAGTTGGTCTTTCCTACACTTTTAATGTGTCCGCATGGAGCCCACTCTTCCAATCAACCTACTATCAATTATTCACAAGAGAGTGCTTTTCCTCCCAAAAGCGTACATTGTTCATCAAACCCACGGACGCCGTACCTGCAGGAGGCACTGGCCATATTGACACAGCAAAAGCTCGTACGGATCATTCGCAGTGCAATCCCGTTCCAAGACCATGCACAAAAGGTGTTGCTGGCATGTGTCGAGCAAGGTGAAGCTAAGCGTCGTTCCTCCAGCCCCGCCGGCCACCAGTTGGTCCCAGTAGCTGTTCGGACCGCCGTCCGATTCACCACTGCCTGGTCGCGAGCTGCTGCCGGCGCTGTTTCCCCTTCCGTGTTGGGAGGCACATCGACATGCCCTGTCAGCCATGGATGTGAGCATCAATTCCAACAGATCTGAAACCGCACTTCGCTCCGCCTCGTCTTCCTCAAACAGGGTGAGCAGCTGCAACACAGAATCTGTTCGAGCGAAGTGGGTCAACAGATCTCGTAAAAGAGTTACTCGCTCTCGTGGAACCTGTGCCAAAGGTGTTGATGCATCGCGCCCTGTGGAAGTCAAGTCGGGCAGGTCCCCTGCAGCGCCCAGTCCCTCAGGTACGTCGCAAACTGCCCCCGCGCTAGACTGCAGATGCCACACCAATCCGAGCAGGAGATGCAACCGGTTCTGCACAAGTGGCATTAAGAGAGGCAGGCCACTGGTAAAAGTGTCGACCGTGGCCTTCAAAAGTGATGGATCGCCGTCCTGCTTAAGCATGATACCTTGCAGACAGTGCAAAATGTCTGGCAAGAGCTTCTCGTCTCCACTCTGCTCCGAAGCCTCTGAAGCCGCCCCAACCCCATGCCTGTGGTAGTTCAGCAACAGTCCGACTTCCGCTGGGTCCACGTGTGCATCTACAAGGCGGCAGAAGTTGGCGCGCATGATCTGAAGGAGCGACAGGATCGATGATGCAGTAGATGTCTTGTCGGCATCCGTACCGTCATCAAGTCGGGTAAGGGACCTCACAAGCAGCGCGTAAAGCTTCTGGAAAACAGCCGCGGTAGGCTGGATGATGTACGGCTCCTCCAGCGCAAGCGGCTTGCCCTTCCCCTTCCTCCCTTGCGTAGCTGTTGCAGCCTCGACGCCAACGGCAGTAGTCGTAGCTTGGGCTGGCACTCGCCTGTGCTCGGCCACCTCCCCTCTCGCGAAAATGCTGCGGGCGGTTCTGGTCCCGGCCGCAGTGGTCGACATTCTTCTGGCCGGCACCGGCCGGCCCGGCATCATGCTGCTGAACAAGCCGCTGCTGCTCTGCCGCACAGCCAGACTGAAGTCCATGAACAGGTCATTTGGGTTGATGCTGCCAAGGTTGTAGACAGCGAGGAGACCAACAGCGGCAGCGCAAAATGAGACACCCTAGAAAACCATCAGCTTGAATAGATGGGAGCCAAGTACTCCGTTTTCACCAACGTCACGGTACATGGAGCCGTATGGGCTCTCGTTGAGATGGCACTCACCCCAGATGCCGTCCTGATACAGCTTCGGGCGGTACCCCACTCCTGACAACACCCCAGCCACCGGTGCTGGGAGCAGGTGCAGCTGCAAAGGAGCATGCGCGATACGTTCATGTGAGTGCAAGTCCACAGCATTGTCTACTACTACGACAAATGCTCAGCAACGTTTTCGCGGGATGTACATACACAAGGTGGCTGACGTGGGCATTAGTACGAGGAGGATCGACAAGCATACTAAGGGCAAACAGCTTCACCTGGAAACCTCTGCGCCACAGGGTCAGAGCCAGGCACTGGTGTCATGCTGCTTCGCCCTAATCCGTCACGGCCAGGCCCGTGCTCCGCGGGCCCCAGCTGGTCTCCTTCTTGATCGCGTGGAACGTACCACTGAGCGAAGTTCGCCAGGCTGGCAAGGAGGCCCGCTGACGGTGCGGCAGCGGTGGCGGCCCGAATGGTTGACGCGACTTCTTCTGCCTCGCGCCGTGCAGCCTTCTGCCTACTTGCTTTGTGTGGTGACTCCGGCGACACGCCATCCGCACCGACGCACGCCTCCTTTTTCGCACCAACAGTTTGGGCCGGACTGGCAGACGCATCCCCGTCACCAGTGTCACCAGTGTCACCAGTGTCACCAGTGTCGGCCAAAGTTTCTGCTGATGGTTGGTGTTCGTGCTGCGCAGCCGGTGGGGTCTGCACTGGCGTCGCTTCTGCGTCACTCTCATCGTCGCTGTCTGACACATCGTCATCGCCCTCCCCGAAGATACGCTTCAGCTCTACCAGCCGAACCGACTTGGCGACCCCATAGAAGCACACCGCCGGGTGGACTTCCGGCGGTACGTTTGAGAAAACCACGCCTTGGTCCACCCCGTTGACCTCCAAATTAAGCGTGCCACATTCGCAGTTTAGCGTCAGGCGTACCGAATCCAGCGGATGGATTTTTCGGGTCACGCGATTGCGGCGTCCACCATTGCTGTATGTTTCTCCGCTGTAGCAACGGACCATCCACATCTGAAGAGAAGAGGAAGGGTTCATCAATCAGGGGCAGGTCGTTTCAAGCGCTGCAACGGGGTAGCAATCGATTCGAGAACCTACAGCAGAGCCGTCACATATTCCCCTGTTCTCGCTCGGTAGAGAGCCAAACATACGCGATCGACACCGGTGGAGGTTGCCTACCTGATGGGAGTCTTCGTAGCAGGAGTTCGTCACTGGGTTGACCGCCACACCTACGCAGGTGGTCTCGTCGCCGCTGCTCTCTCGTTCCAAGGCAAGTTCCCAAGACCATGTTCCTCGGCGCAAGCACTGGTGAAGGAGGCTATGAGTATGACCGTTGTCCGCTGCGCTGGAAACCAGCTGCCCCGCTTCGCTCACCACAACCCATTTGGACGACAGGGCTGGGTCGAAAGCCGCGTCGCGAATGACTCGTTCCGGATCCTGGCGGCACGCTTGACGTTTAGCGCGAGACGCAGCTGACAAGAGAGTTGACACGAACGTCTGCAGCCCTTCCGTTCGCCCAAGCTTGTCGGTCTGGGTTTCTCTTGCCGCGCCGCTCGTGGACTCGCCACCGCATTTTTCCTCCTCCAGCAAACTCGGACTGCTATAATTCTCCATATCCATATACACTCGGACGAGGTCCAGCTCGAACTCCAGGGCGCAGGAGGCCTGAGTACATTCACCCAAAAACATTACACGAAAAGGAAAAAATCGGCCCTCGGGCGGCCGGGGACAACTCTCCACTGATACCAAAGGTATCTATCGACTTCCTAAAACTGTACACACCCTACATGGGCCTGTTGCAAGAATTCCAAGAAAGCACGCGCACCTGGCACACACCAAGCAGCGCCCGCAAAATGTAATCCTGAAGTGCCGCTTCGTCCCGCGAATGCTGGGCGAGCAAGAACGTCTGCAGCTGGTGCAGTACCGTCATCACATCCGACGGGCTGCAGAAAGAGCGAGCGACAGCGTTGATGGTTGTAGCATGCCAAGACTTGTACATCATTGCAAGAGACGATCGTTCTACCATGCGTGGACTACATTACATACATGTCCCTGGAACATTTTTGGGACACCACGCTGTCCAAAATCTCTTCTCCCAAATGTTTCGGGTGCTTGAGAACCGTGTACGACTCTTCCAAGTTCACACTTGATTACGCAGTTGACCACTTGGTAGATAGAAATCTGTGGATCTGTTCGTGCCTCGCCACTCCCAATTCGACATGTCCGACACCGATTCGATTTGCAGAAAATTGGCAAGACTTGATCGAGAAGAGTCCAGCCATTTGCAAAATATCAGCCAAAAATTCGGCAATTCGGGGAGACTTCTTCCCATGAACGGTGAAACATGCTAATGGGGAAATCTTGGCCAAGATCAAAACGCTTGAACAACATCCAATCCCCATAAACCTGGGTGTAAGACGTGGTCCTAGTGGCATACATGTATCGAAGCGTATTGCACCACTCGACACAGCGTTTTACTTGACACTATACGAAGTCTGACCTGGCAGAGGGGTCTCGGGCATTGATCGCAACGTCGTAGATGCTGAGCGCCCCGCCCGGTCTGCCGCCTGGCGCCCCTCTCATTTTGAGTCGGACATGTGTAACTGCAGGAATGGCATCATGAGATCGCCCTTCCAGTGCTTTCCGCCGGGACTCCCTGCAAGATATCGTGGGTTGTCAGAGCAGAACGAAGCCGTCATCCCCACCGCCCCATGCACAATAGTAACACTATCTGTTTAGCAGTGCTCCTTTCCTGCAACCGAGAGTTGTATCGTTCTCCGCCCTCAGCGCCTAGGCCCAACGGGATGCACCTAATGCTAACTAATATGGTCGCGTCTTGGGTTGCCTCGAACGCCAGGTACTGTGCTACACAGGCTTGTGCGTTTTCCTCTGGTACAATCAACACTTGACTCAAGGTCCACTCACGTTTTCCTGCGCAGAGCGAGAAGCGACACCGGGTACCGATGCTGTGACGAGCCTGGCGATGCCTTGTGGGCAAGGGCAGCATCTACCGCCTCATCGCCACCTGTTATCCCGTGCCATTCTTTCCCTCCGTCTACAGAAGCCTCAATACTAAGTGTAAGCGGAAGCGCGTTCTGGTCCGTGCCGGTGGAGGGATCTCCTGCCCTCCACTGCACCTGGACCGATGTGAGGTCCGTCGCTGGTGCACTTAGTGCCACCTGCGGCAATGCCAACGCACGCAGCGCTGAATGAATTGGCTGAATGAATTGGCAAGGTTTCCAAAGGGTTTTCAACATGCACACTAAACAACAGGAATGATTGAGTCGATCGCACCAGGAAAAAACGAAAAACCGACTATTTAGCAACACAGCAATAGCGGGATCATTTCTCCAGAGCCAAAGGTGATGGGTCGATCCAATCTCGCAGATATGTACTACCAGTCAACGTCAACAAGGCAACTCCAACGGAACAGCGGTTCGGTCGAGTTGAAGGGTGAATTCATCTTCACACATCGGACACTCGACGCGACCGTTCGTCGCACTACTGTGGTAGTGCACCAACCAAGTTCGACAACAACGTTTCGGGAGCGTAGAGCTTCTACTTGTTCAAAGCGTACTCGCGCTTTCACGGCAGAAACGCATCGTCCGCCGCATGCATACACGCACCTGCCAAGTAACGACGCTCGAACCAGTGTAGGTTGACTTCCACCCCACATGCACCCCACCAGTGACAGCGAGCCTTGCCAACGAAGCGCAAGAGCTAGCTGTGGCCGTCTCAGGGTCAACAGGCAATCTTCTCTCCGGTTCTGAGGGCAGCGGGCTCCAGTACTTGAACTGGGGGCAGAAAAAACGATTCCAAAAGAGCAAATGTTCAAACATCGTGAACAGCAGTACTACGGAGGGTGTTGCAGCACTGGTAGGCAAATACGGATAAAGATTCCAACAAGCCCACAGGCAACCCTACACAAGCACCGTCCCTACACCAGAGGGGAGCCGTCGTTCGGGGGGATGCGCCTGTCGGCAGCCAACGTACACACAACAATGACGACGTAAGCCTCAAGCCGCAAGCACCTCCTCACCAAGTTTTTGGGGGGAAACTTTTCCAGCAGGTCAGCTAGCATGGCAAAGGGTGCCCGAATAAGATCCACGCCGCCGTGTCCACTTCCATCCCCAACTTGAACAGCTTGTAGGACCGTGGCCAGCGAAGCAAGAGTCGAAAGTGATTGAAGCGCAACCGAGTTCATCATCAATCCTAGGGCCACGTCTCCGTGCGCACTAACTCCCGCAGGCGGCGGTGGGGACCTCGATCGCATGTGAAAAGGCCGGCATCGAGACCTGGGGCGGACCGAAGTTACAAGGAGAAACAGGAGGCGGGGCAGAGGGTAGTTTTTGCTTTCTGAAGAAAACTACAATACACAAATGGCTTCCAACACGGCACGCAGTTCATGCGTCGGCGATCAAGTGCTCGGGCACACGCTAGGTTACGCTGCCGGAGGTCTCTAAAGCTGACGCTCTTTGTACACGAGCACGGCGCACCTGTGCTCCTCGGCGACGGCTGCCCCGATCTCCCGCAGGACAGCTAGTCTTCGCTGTATCGTCGGTAGAAAGCCGTATGTGCGGAGCGGTCGTGCGAGCTGCAGCTCGCCAAAAGCCGAATCAGAGTTCAAACCCTCACACGCTGTCACTCCTGCCCCAGCCGCGCGCTGCCAAGCGTCGAGTTTTTCTCTTAGAATGCCACGCTGGCTCTCTTCCGTGTACTGAAAGGTGAAGAACAGACATGGAGGGCGTCTGTGGGGAATTAGCATTGTAACCCGCCTCTGCTTTTAAAATGCAGAGTACTGTAACTCACACTGAGCTGCACCACAACCTCTTCGTACAACACCTATGTCGGGTTGCATGTGGTCCTTTCGTACACGGCAGTACAGCCCACAAGCTGCCGATGAAGCTACACGCAATATCAACCTTCGTGCAACCATTGGTGGACAAACATAACATAACAGCAGCACTACACCATATTTGCTCCCCCCGCAAGGGTTGCACCCGAAGCAGCACACGTATATGCCAGCTACAAACCGAAGGCTGCAGAACTATGGTGACCAGCGAATGTACAACACAGCAGTACACTGGCAGTGTCAAGTTGACGTACTTTCAAGCGAGTTGTCGGAGAAACGACTGATGTACCTGCAGAACGCGGGTAGTTTGCGCACATATGATACACGGCGCAAGGGCAACCAGAACTCAAGCCCATCTGCCACCGACCTTGTAGTAATGCACGCCCGCACAGGCAATGAGAGAGTTTTCGCGTTCGCCATGCTCCAGAACCGAGCAGATGAAGCCTTCGTCCAGGAGGTGCCGCAACACATAGGGCCGAAACCTACGATCGTGTGTTACTGCCTCCCATGTCGATGCCTCATCCGCCAGAAAACATGGGCAACCAATGTTTTTCTTTCCCTTCCTGAGACGTAGCAGCGCCGAAGTGGGATCAAGAACTGGCGCTTCACTTGCAATTGCATTCCCCATCAGCTCCTTGCTAGCCAGCAGCACAAGAGCACCGCCGACAGATGAAGCAACAAGGAGATCAGATGAAGGAGACAGAGCAGACGGGGGAGGCACCCCACCCAAGAGAAAAAATTCTATGCGGCGCCCCCTGCAAAAACCATTTGCAAGGCAGACAGACAGCAGCAGAAGTACACTGACGGATGTGAAGTAGCTTGGTTTGGGTGTCGCCGCGGTGCTGCAGTGCGGTGGGGAGGCAACTCGAACAAAACATTGGGTCAGACGAGGTGAGGTGGTCTAGTCGGTAGGTGCCTGTGTTGATCTAGTCACGTCTGCCACCCCGGCCAGTCGACGTTATATGTAGTGTTACGTGCATACCTTGCGCACGTGTATAATATGAATACATCGGTTACCCTGTAGGGTGGTCAACAAGACATTGCACGCACCCTCTACTGATTTCTCGTCTCGATGTCAGTCCACAGGGTCAAAAACTGTTGCGCCGAGGAAGTTGGCAATACAAAGCAAGTTCGCATGGAACGTTCGAATATTTACAGACTGCTGTTAGGCACACAATACACAATGAGTGCCCCCCACCCGCCAACACACACGCTGTAGCATGTATCATAAATCTACATGTAAATAATTTTTGTTTGAAAAAGCACACTATAATAGAGGTTGGGTATGCTATCCATATCTACACGATAGTCTACATATGTAGCTGTCAATGGCGTCCGGCGTCCGGAATACTGCGGTCCAACCATCGCAAGTTTTTTTTTCCGTGCAACCCGGCGTGTTGTGGGCATGCAGCACCAGCTCACCAGCCCAACCACAGGGTACATTTGACGTGCATGACCAATTGGTCCGTGTGCGCACACCTCCCCAGACAACCGACGTTCTCCAAAGGTGAACGGTCGGGTCTTGATGTTGTCATCAAATGTTCCGTTACTACTACTGTACAACGATGATAAAATCTACCATGTACCGACTTTCGGGGAAGTCTGGTGCCCATACTCGAAACAAACACGACGCAGCCAGAGCGGAAGAGGGAATGAATCCCGCCGCATCAGCACCACCGAGACACTGCTGAGAGACTTTTCCAGGGGAAAACGCCAATGCCCATCCTCTTGTCCGGGAAAAACATGGCTGTGCGGAGGTGACAGCTGACAGCTAAGCCATGACAAGACGAACACTGATGCAGCGGCAGCTTGGGCGGCGGCTTGTTACGTGACTGAAATCTGGAAAATTTGTTGCGGTGCCTGAGAAGAGTCAACGGTTGCATCCACATTCCCTACAATACCACCAACGGGTGGGGTTGGGGTGGCGGGAGTAGGTAGAGCTTCTCGCCTGCTCCGCCTTTGGCGAGACTAGTGCTGCTACTGACTCAGGGGTAGCTCATGACACGGATGTTGCTGGGCTTACGCTGTCGCGTATGTGTGTGTGTCTTTATGATTGTCATCGACCGCGCTAACCGGCTATTCAATGAACAGACGTCAGTCTCCGCAAAACACAAAACCCTTCTACTTGTAGATACCGTTAAGTAGGACCCCGTGAGGGGGCAGCATGGGGGAGGCTAAGTTATTCTCCGCATGAAAGACAGAAACGGTAGCAACAGAAGAAGACTGCACGTGTCTACCAAGGCTGCTACCTTGCACTCGAGTTCGTTTTGGAGTGCTTTCACCATCCTCTTCCTTGCTTTCACCACCATCGCTCTCATCATCATTTGTTCAGTTATTTTTAGGCAATTCTTCTCTAGCCCTGCGTCGTTTGTTGTGGGGAAGGTCATCTGGCTAGTAGCTTTTGCTCGCTTCCACTCCATGATTCCCTCCTCGATTGCTGCGACAAGCAAGCAATTCCGAACTCGAGTTCAACAGTCTCCTTACAACCGCCAATCCCACGCAGAGACCAACATCAAAGTGAATCTTTATGCACTTTCACCCCCGGGGGGTTCGTGCTTGCCAACGTTTTATAACTCCCGCTGGACGCCTCTTGATGCAACATCACGTTGTGATAGGTGGACAACGTCGCCGGAGATGGCTTCCCAGGCGCCGGAGCACAAGCAGTGGCACTCCAATGTCGGGCTCGACGAATTTGTCGGGCACGTCCTCACGTTCAAGTCTTTGGTTGACTCTACGCAAACCCGTGAATTGGGCACGGTCGACAAAGAACAACTTAAGAAAATGATGGGATGGGGACTCTTCATTGAACAGGTGCGTGAACCTCTTTCGTCTCGAGGAGAAACGTTTTGCTGCGAGCATGTATCGACCTCCTCCTTTCATCGTGCCCTCCTTGGTTGTGACCCATACACTGATGTCCAGGCGCACGTGCGTATCGATGTTTTTTGCGCCTTACGCCAATACCAAAGCGTCCCGCGGTTTTGAACTTGGGCAGCAAGATCGAAAACGCTTCAGGAATAAGCAGGGTAGTATAGGTGCGTCGTCCTCTTTTCCCCTACTCGTGTTCTTACCGAAGGCTGGCTTTCGTGCAGGTGGTCGGGGGGTTGAATACCGACTCGCAGCGAGATAGTCTCGCCCGGGCCTTGGGTCTTTCGCACCGTGCTATTCTGCCTCGTCTCTACCAGGGTGAGTAAATGTCTTGTCGCTGCGTTGGACACACCGCGTCATAGTCTGTTCGATTCAAGTTTCAGTCCGCGTTGCTTTTGTGGGAATACCGTCAGCTGCGGAATACGATTCCCCTCCGGGGTGTTGTAGATGAAGCGAACAAGCAAGGATCTAACACGATTTACCCCCCACAACTTTCGCAGCGCGTAGGTGGGTGCTTAGGTCCATGCTCGGCAGTACCTTCTTGGTCGACCACCCTCGCCCCGAATCTTTGGTGATGTGGATCATGGCCTGCTACGAAGAACTCCCACCGCTCCAAGGTAGGCAGGTCGGGCACACCCCGAAAGCGTGTTTGCTGTCTTCTAACTTGAGACCGAAAGTCACCCACGTAGATCACTTTTAATGTCGTCTAGGTTGGCTTCGTTTTGCGGCAGTAATGTCGTAATTTCACCGCTGCTGTCAGAATCATCATGTACTCAGTATTTAGTCCCCGGTAAGCTCATACTGACTATAATATCAATGTTGTCTTCCTTTACAACATGCCAACAGCCCACCAAGACGCGGGAGGCGAGACTGACCAGTCAGCGTCGTTTGTCGACGATGCCAGCGCTGTTGTGAAATCTCGAGGAGACGTAGGTGTTGTGTCGCATGCCTACTCGGCTCTCTTACTCTGCGGAGGCGGGAGCAAGTTGGCGTCTTCCATCAGCACCAGAGATGCCGCTGGAGGCGGTGGAAAAAGTACGAGGGTGCCATGCTTGTATGAGATGAGTGTAGACACCGCACAGAAGCGAGCGTATGCGAGCAACTGCTTCACATTTTTGTCATCGAGGTGCGCACAGGGTGATGGGCAACACAAGCATGGTGTGCTCGCCGAACAAGTCACCAGCTTCATCCTGGAGCTCTCTGAACTTGCTCAAACGGACATTGTGTCTCTCGAAATTTTGTGTCTAGTGCTGCTAGAGCCGTGGAGACAGGCCACTCGCACTGCAAAACATCAAGCAGAAGACTCGGCATGCGATTCACAACAAGAATCGCTGGGCACCTCGCTGAACGGCGCGCTCCTGAAGCAGGCAAGTGCACTAGTACCCCCGATGTGAGCCACACCGACTGGGTTCTGGGGTATGGATGGACCCCTACCACAAAAATGTGTTCGTTGATGGACAGTGAAATCCGCAAAAGCCATTTGTTTTTAAAGTCACGTCGACAATGTTTTGACCTTTGTCATCTCTGCAGGTTGAGGGTTTCCTGGACGATGCTAGGCTGTGGTCCTTGGACGAATGGCTTCTGGGGGAGATATCACACCGCCACGAGTCGTTCGCCAGAGCCTACGTGGAAAAGCTGACGCGATCGCGGGAGGAGCTGGTTCGCAGAGAATATTTAACGTCTGCCGACTCGAGTGGGCTCTGCTTGAGAAAAGAGGACGTGCAGAGCAGGCTGGGCGTTTTGTGTTCAAGAAGCGAGCGATTAAAGCGCCTCGTGTTCCGGACGATAGCTTTGAATTAAAATAGGCTCAGGAGGTGTAGTGATCCCGCCCCCGGGCGCACGCCATGTACGCACTGGCCCATTTTTCGGCTGTAGGTGGTAATGAGGGACAAGGCCGAGGGGGCAGGCCGTGAAAGAACAGCGAAGAGAGAAAACATCTCTCGGCATATGTGGGAAAGGGGGGCTGCGGGTTCCATGTCATGTGGACCATATTTGAGAGCGTTGGCGGTAAGAAAATTAGGTCATGCGGGCGACGCACGTTAAATTCGGCCAGTACTGTTGCAAATCATGACCTTGGCGGTGCGTGAACAGCAACCATATTATGTGCAAACAAAAGAGTCCGCGCAAGATCCAAGGCAATCAATCCGAGCTTCCATGTAGGCCGACCGAAAAACAGAAGGAACACGAGGCCAATTCGGGCTACATTTCACGGATCTCTCTTTCAAGCACCGGCAACGGGGGCTCCCGAATACCACTGAACTGCCGACCGAACGCTCCTCCGCGTTCCACCTCCGTTTCTACGATGATGGCCAGCTCCTTTGGAACAGCATCGAACCTGCAAAGGGGTTTTGGAGGGAGACGGGTCAACGTACGAGCAGCTCGTGAGCGCTTTTTGACTTGGAGGCCATGAGAAATGGTCGTTAGAATGACCGAATCAAAACTAGAATGATAGCCACAACGGCGCATTGCATAGTGACGAACATACGTGACTTGGGTTGCTGTCATCAGCAGCCGAAAATACTTGGCATCTTTGTCACAATGCCGCAGGAGTACAGAGAAAGGATAGCAAGGGTGCAGAGTCCACCCCTTGCTTCGTCGACACTCAAACAATTCCTTCAATCTCCTGTTTATTCAGTTTGCTCCGGTTTGCTCCGCATGCAAAGTGACAGGATGCGGCGGTGGTCACCTTCGAGAGTGCGAAACCGACAGCAACCCCACGGAAACCTAACAACACTGTTTATGCCGGTCTCACCTGTACTCCTGAGGCATTGGCGCCCAAATCATGGAGTTTTGTCTGCGCGACCATGCTGCATGCGGATTGGGCGCAACAGCACCCTGGGCGAGCTCCACAGGTTTTTGGCGATGAAGCAAAAACACGTCTGTCCCCCCTTTAGCAAGAAACTCGTGCTTCGCTGCATGCTCAACTCCAAGTCGAATCTTCGGGTCGGGCTCCATGAGCGCGCGGACGAACAATCGTGGAGATTCGGAGACAGCGGGAGGAAGAACCGGATGATCGCTGCCTCCCCCTGCGCTTCCACCGGCGTCCCCGGACGAAAACCGTACTATCCGAGCCATAATTTTTTCGTCTGTTTCCGCAAAAATAGGAGGGCGACCGGACAGACACAAGAACGTCACGCAGCCCAAAGCCCAGGCATCAGCCCCGAAACCAGGGGAGCTTCCACGAGCAACCTCTGGAGGCATATACGCTGCAGTTCCTTCCGCCCTGGACTCTCCTTCCTCTCCCGCACTCGCGCCTTCGCCGTCCTGCTCTGCGACGTCGCTGTCGCTGTCGGTATCACCGTCTTTGCGCCCAAACCCAATCGTGTACAAAGGGTTGGGTGGTAGCCCCGCCTTCACCCTCCAGTCTCCATCCCTCAGCGTGCGCAGGGCATCGCGGCTACTGTTGAGAGAGCTCTTCGCAGCCTCCGAGACCGGGCGGCAGGCACCAAAGTCAGCAACCTTGATGTGACCACTCTCGGTGATGAGGATATTTTCCGGTTTTAGATCTCCAAACACAAACCCGTTGTCGTGGATACTGCACAAGGCTGCCACCACCTCTCCAACGACGAACCTGTCGGGCGGTTTCGATACCGTGGACGCGGCGTTAAGAACAGCATGCGTGAGGCACCCAAAACAAAACGGAAGGATTTTTAAGGAGAGTACGGCCCAGAGAAACATGATCAGCCGCGTACCAGGCGCAAATTAAAGGACCGAAACCATGTTGACGAGGCCGCCGTCTCGCAGACCAGTTGACGAACGTGGTTCTACTACTAGGTTGAGGGAACCCGTTGCCGCCGATGAGAGAGGCAGAGACGACACCGTTCTTACTTACTCCCGTTCTGAGGTCCATCGTTCGGTGCAAAAGAGTGGTGCGGTATATTGGTCGTATCCCGGTTCTTGATACAAGCGGCTCGGTTCCCCAAACAAGCGCGGAGGGAAGGGTATGGCGTATCTCGATTAGACGCAGACATACCTCGCCGAGGCTTCAGAGAGAGAGCCGTGCTCCTTGATATGGCTATGAAGATCCCCTCTCGAGGCATATTCAAGCACCAGATATGCACCGTCTCTCCAGCGAAAAGCTGATACAAGCCGCGCGATGCCTGGGTGGCTGAACATGCGCAAACACGCAATCTCGTTCGTGACGCTTTTTTCGTAGTTCAGCTCCTGCGGAACATGCCGAATTACGGAGGCAAAAACGGTAGCGACGAATGCGAGACTTTGAGTTTCTGGCCGGAAGAGAACGACGTCGGACGGAAATCGACGTGTTGGCAGCACCGAGAGTGCAGCTTCATGCATGACTCCTTACCCGCTTGTCATGCCCGGCCCTGCTTGGCCTCCTGATATGTCGGTCGACGACGAACAATGCTGGTCCTGTCAACGCTACAAAATGCCGCTTAGTGGGACAAACGCAAATACCATCCATCCGACTTGTGGCCACCTGGATCTTCGTCGTGCTGATAATCTTCACAGCAAACTCTGGCCACTGGCTTCGGGATCTTCCTTTGGTGATATGTCGGGCGTATTTCACAACACTGAAACTTCCCGAGCCAAGCTCATGCCCGAAGACCAGATCGTGAAACCTAGCAGTGCCATGCACGCAGACCGCAAGAGCGGTTTTCAAGCAAATACGTAGTCACAGCAGAATAGTCAGTTCATCGACAGGTATTGGGCAGAAAACGTGCACGTCGACAATTTGTGAGAGCGAAGGTTGCTTGTTACGCGTTCAAGTGCCACTTCAGGGAGCACAGCACATTGCACCGCATGGCTTCGGTAACATTGGCTACATCTGAGTCTCTTCAGCTCCTGTGTGCCAAGACATCTCACCTCAACTCTGGGAGAAGTGTGGGTGTTGGTTCTAATTGCAGCTCTTGCCACGAGGGACCTGATGATTCCTCCGTTGTGTTTGGTGTGATCTTCAGAATGAATTCTCGTACTCTCCTGAGTCCCGGTCCCTGTTGTTTCACTGCGGCAGCAGCGTCTACGGGGTCCTCACCGCCGCTGTTGGCGACTGGAGGAACTCTCTTGATCTGCGCTTTCGCACCGCCTTGACATTCAAGTGAGGCTGACGTCGCCGATGAAGACCCATTCGTGCGTTGAGACGCCGAGTTGGGATCTGCAGAAGCTTGTGCAAACTGTGGTGCTCCATGTCTAGAGCCGTCGCCTTCACGGGAATGCCCCTCACCCTCCGGAACGCCCAGCCTACGCGTAGACAGTGCAAGGGTGCATGGCATTAATGCTCATGTGTGTGTTTTGCGGGCATGGCAAAAACTTTGATCGAACTTTCTCCCCTACTACTGTACGGCGGTTTCTTGTTAATGCCGCAGCGCGAGCGAGGAGTGCAAGCGAATCGACGGTTCTACAAGACTCTTACCGCAGTCTTTTCAGCGATTGAACCGGCGGTTTGATCCGTTGTACGCCATCCGCCGTCGTCTGCAGGCGGTCTATCCCTCCCAATCGAGTCGGTGGCTTGGGCGATTTGAAGGCCCACGGCGCGACCCCGGTGACGGCGGCAGGGGGTGTTCGTGTGTCCGAACCGCGCCCGGTACCACTCACTGAAGGCCGCCAGCTTCCCATCGCACCCTTCAGGGTGGTGGGAGGCAGGAGACCACTGCCGCTGGACTGGGGTCGAGAAGGCACCTGCAAATTACGAGCGATGAGTTCGAAAGCCAGCGTGATTTCGGCTAACCCACTGTGGGGGAAAACAAACCAAAAAGCGGCATACCGAAGTGTTTCGGTGACAAAAAACGGTACTCAAGGACATCACACAGCCAGTATGGAGAGTGGGGTATGACGTTCTCAATTGGGCACGCGCATCTGGTATGTATGGAGATATACGGAAATGACGCTTACCTCTCTTCGTGGTGTCGGGGTCGCATTTTTTTCGGCGTCGGACACGCGACGTGGCTCCTGGCCCCACAGAGATTCGCATGCTGCAGCAAACGCGGTGCTATCCTTGTCCTCCAGGGACTCCAGCACTCGGGCTGTCATCTGTAACATTATAAAGCCGGCGGGGCACGGTTTGATGTCGAGATCATTTCACGGCACACACCTGCTTCATGGAAGAGTCACTAAAAGGCTGCGCTCAAAACTGCGACGCGTGCGTTCTTCAACAAAGGTTTCACTTGCTATTCCAATTGTCACTCGCCTTATTGACAGTTGGGTTCCAGAAAGGCTCCCCACCCCTCAGCAGTGCAGATAGCAGCGGTAGAAATGTTGTGCTCGTATTCGCAGCCAACACGTCCAACAGATGTTCGTCCTTGAAGAGATAAAGCGCCCGTTCAACCACTCTGCTGTTCTCGACTCGGAGGCACGCCAGGATCTGGTCAGCAGCACACGTTCGAGTTGAAACCCGGTGAGGAATGTTTGGGTGCGTCTCGCGCCATCATCAATCAAAGGCACCACCCTACCGCAGAAAGGAGGAGGAGAAACAAAAAAACTACTTGTTTGGCATTCCTCCCGGGTGATCCCGGCTGATGCGTCCGAACATACCGATGGGTGTAAAACTGGCGTCCAGAATAAATGGGATGACAAGGCACACACCTACGCCCAAGGAAATCAGTAACCACCACAATCGCCACACTGCGACCAGATGTCGAGGTATGCCGACACACCAATTGTTGGAAGCAGATGCTGCCTGCACTTGTTGCACAAGACAACGCCGGAGCAATACCAACATGGTAAATCACGAACCTTCGGCATGATAATATCCAGCACCGCGCTGCTTGCCTCTGGTGAAACAAACCTGACCAAAGTTCCCACCTCGTGCAGCAGCAGCACTTCCTATGGCAGAGCGGTGCAACATGCGCAGCAAGCAGGCCATGTTGACATGTTTTCCTGGGTGCAGAACGACAGAATTGCCTCTCAATTCTTCTGTCCAGCACCTAGAACCCAGGCTAGAGGAGGCGAGGGGTCAAGGCAAGCGCCGGAAGGCAACTAACTCTGTGTGTTGTAATTGAAGCGCCAAGGATATGAAGTCGCACGAATTGCCGTAAAACAAGTGAAGCATTTAATGCACTATAAGTCTGCCAGGTGGGGAAAGACTGGAATGCAACACCATACTAGCACAAGCCATCTCGCAAGTTTGGACTAAACGACAGCGGAACTGCTGTTTGCCTGCCCCAGCGTGTACTGCCTCCCAGTATCATACGCGGGGTCTGAGCCAACTACATTTCTCTTCTCTTCATGGCCTACTTGTGATTAACCGTGTCCACACGACAACCCGGGGCAAGACAACCAGGTGCAAACGGTGGGTGTGTAGCCTAGATGCGAACCTTTGGAGTGTTGCTGTTGAAGCCTTGAGGCCAGGCCGTAGCGATAGCTTGGAAAACAATTTCCACCATATCCGGCTGCAGCTCCAGAAAAGACACCAGGCAACCCACGAGATCTTCGTGGTAGCTCTCGATAAGAGGTTGCTGAATGCTCCACACTGCCATCTGATTGGGCTCATGGAGAGGAAGGAGGACTTCCGTGAGGAGGGATCGGTGCACCTGGAAAAGGAATCCGGCGATGTGCGTTACATCGGGTGCAAGCGGGGACCTGTAAGTTCGTTAGAACTAGCCAAAAAACAACGGTATGTGTATCTGGTCCCGAACCTGGCAAAGCAGATGTACCTAGACGATAAGGTCCTTGGGGCAGCAGTAGCAGCATATATTGAAGAATGAGTTGAGATTCTGGGTGCGAACGGGCATTGCGTACAACCATATCTCGAGTCGCCCTATTTACATACCTATAGTTAAAGTTATACCTATAATTAGAGTTGGGTTAGGCGTACTCCGAAATCTTCCCGATAGAAAAACACCAACAGTATGCAACACATCAAAATCGGATGAACAGATACAGGATGCATGCTTGCACAGAAATGCAGCGAGAACCGCCGTAGGACAGCGTTACCCGAGCTTTCATCCACACCGCCGCACCAAGGTGGGAATGGTTTGTTTGCAAACTGGAAAAATCGGGCTTGGTTCAACCTTTGTACTACATAGCTGGACGCATATTAAGCCGCGTGTCCCCTTGTTGGTAAAAGTCTGGTACATGTAATAGCCTAGTACGGAAAATTTGTTGACTTGGCTTCAGTGTGGAGAGTGTCCCCAGTGCATTTGGGGACACTTTTCTGTCTAAAAACAAGTTCAGCCTTCTTCCCGCGGGACTGTACGGCCGTATCCCAATGAGCGGACGCGATATTTTCTATTTTCTGGACCTGATATAAACCCTTAACTAGGTATGTACGTATGTACGCCTTTTGTATGCATCGGAGGGTTAATGCAGCACCTGATCATAAACCACAGAGGAGTCACGAACCCCAGCGTTGCGCACAACAGGAGGTTGGTGGTACCTGAACAGCAAGACGCGCATTGTCTACACCATACTTCGGTAATATCGGCTAGACTATGGATACAACAGCAGCAGCAGTCTTCATGGGGGGCGTACGAGCGAGCGCGAACCTTGCTCAGGCTGGGGAACCCCTTGATGATCAGCCGGAGGCACTGGAGTACTTCTGCGATATGAAACTTGCCGCTTGGCGTTCTCACGAAGTATGCTAGCAAGGCACCGATTTTTCTGCGAAGGAACCTGCGCTTTTGCGGGAAGCTCGCGTAAGCCCAGTGGAGGGTGTCACGTAGAAAAGCTCGCTCGTCCGGCACACCGGCTTGGAACCTCGCGCAGAGCTCCTCCAAAAATCCATCATCAATGCAATCTCCAGCCACCGTCTCCTCAAATTCTGGAAGTGCAACAAGCCCCATCCAGCAAGCTTGTGCATACTTCTCTCCTGGTTGTTCCCACCCTAGGCGAAGAGAATTTAATATAAACGTGTAAATCTTCCGCGGGAGTTTGTCGACATCTCTCACACGCTGGCTCTCGATCAGACGGAGCAGAGCGCGGCATGCTTCCGAACGCTGCTGCCACGACATTCCGATCTCGCAATTCTGAAGAAGGGAAAGCAGCTCGTTCCCCTCATCCTCTACAGACATGCCCGTCGCCCTTCTCACGCTTTCAACGGGCGCAAAACAAAAGCACGACACTCCGATCCCCGATCCCGATCAGATCAGCGATGGGCGCAGACTTGCCACTGTGTTGCCGAACCAAGCGAACCGAACCAAGGGGGTACGCAACGTGGAGAGGCAGCGACTGTACCTCAATATCTTTTGGCGGGTGCCCCCCCCCCCCTATCTTTCCGCTGTGGATCTTCCGCCGCTGCTGTTTACAGGTAAACAGGCACGCCCATATATTCTTTGCTGCTGCTGTTCTTGATGCACCAAGAAGAGGACGAGTATGGTGACGAGACTTTCGAGGAGGAAGACGAGACACCGCCGTCAGTGAGTTGGAAGACGATCAAATTCGATGAGATCTTGTTAGGAGAGCGACTGGGTGGGGGGAGTGTCGGCTTGGTGCACCGTGGGCAGTACAAGGGAGAAAACGTGGCGGTGAAGACACTGGTGAGTCTTCACGTCTTGGACTATACCAAATTGGTACAAACCAAGAAACTTCGGTACCCAGTGCATAGCTCCTGTTGGACATCGAAAGAACGATATACCCTTAGCACCAGAGAAGTCTACTATGTACTACATGGTAAGCGAACATTCTTCTTGATGCACACACAGCTACCGTACAATAGCAGCACCCTTTTTGGTATCTTACAGCGCGTCTGACTTACATGTATATTGTGTTGTACATCGACTAGTAGTTGAGTACGGAGACTGCTGCGAAAGGGTTGACGACCTATGTAAATCTGGACCTTTCTATCGTCGCGCCGAGTCACTCACGCAATCATGCCGTTTGTGTTTCCTGCACAAATTACATGTAGACTCCACGTGAGGCAGCGGCGGTGTTCTTCGTGTTTTTTTCTTCGTTCCCTCCCTCCTTTGTATGCACAACGCACGTACATGTACAGTTTGATCGTCGAATCGACGAGGGACTGAAACGAGAATTCCAGGACGAATTGCTGGTGCTAAGGTGACCGTAGACTACTGTAAGCTGCAGAGCGTGTGATCGAGGTAAACATGAAACTTTCGTAAGACTGTAGTAACAGAGCAGTAGGTGGGCAGTATTTGCTTGAGGATGTTGAGCGGTGGAAGGTCTTGCTGGACCTCTTTTGCGTCACAAGGTCCAAGGCATGGGACTCCAAACACCGAAACGTATGGACCTATATACGTTCAATTACACGCCCCCATCAGCCCAAGCGTGAATCAAACGTTTAGCCACACTGTCCTCACCACATTAATGCGACACGCATAATTCCTTGTACGCTCGCCGGCTGTGTGCAGCCAGCTATCGCACCCCAACATTGTTCGATTCTACGGGGCCAGTATGATCCCGCCAAACCTCTTTTTCGTGATGGAGCTATGCCAGCGATCGCTATTCGACCTGCTGCACCATTGCCGGCGAACTATTGGTGTGCGGAGGCGAATAGGAATGGCGGTGAGATGGCAAGCGAAGCATTCACAGAGTTTCTGGTACATAAGCCTGTACAAATATCGCATATGCAAACACCAGGGCGCCCCCTCACCTTTTCGCTGCGTAACTTCTTGCTTGTGTCGGCCGCACAGGTCACAAAAGTCGTACTTCGAACGTGGGTGATGAATACATATCATTCATGCTATGTAGGAGCATCTGATTTGCTGTCGCCGTTGTTTGTTGAGATGAACGATCTTCACGGTACATGCAGTAGAATTGATTCTATAGTCTACAGGCGGGGCTGGGCTTCTAATGTTGCCCACTGCCGCTAATTTTCCGTGTCTTCTTTGTTTCCTCATCCCTGGCATCAGCTGGACGTATCCAGAGCAATGGAATACCTTCACTCGCGAAACCCGCCCATTATCCATCGCGACCTGAAGAGCCTAAACCTTCTCTTGGCCGGAACGGAGGGCCCCGTGAAGTTGTGCGACTTTGGCTTGGTTCGGTGAGTAGGGGCACCAACCACACTGATCGGTGGCCAGAGGGGCAGGTTGGGCACCAACTACAACCTACGGGGGGGGGCGTTGGGAGGCCGAGTGCGACCTTAAACCCTTTTCTATTGGCTTGCAGCCCGCTGGTTGGAACAACATCGCTATCCGAGATACAGAATAACTTGCACACATTGGGCTGCAACCTCCCTGCAACCTCCCCCCCCCAGGATGTAGTCAGTGTCCCAACCTACCCACAACCTGCCTCTGGCCACCCGTGCAGTGCAAAGCGATGACGCAGTAGTGCCTTGCACGCGGTAGCCACCACGACCCCGTGGTGCCTCTATCACCACAGTCGACACAACATCCAGATTGAAAGTCCGACCACCCTTCAAACACTAAAGCCACCCAAAGAATAGAGGCCAACATAATGGATAAGGGGGGGTGCGTACGTCGCGCACGCCAAACAACCCCGGATCTTCTTTCGTCACACAGAAAATAGGAGCGGCCCGGACGGCACATCATATCCCATGTATGAGCCTGTACATTGTTGTTGCTCTTCGCGCATAACGGTACTTGCACGCTGAACTGCAAACAAACAGGACGACGGTGACAGCAGCCGGCACAGTTGCCTATATGTCGCCTCAGCTGCTACTGGGCCAGCCCTTCAACAAGAGTGTCGACGTATACGCTTTCGGCGTTCTTTTGTGGGAGGTGAGATGGGTTTGAAGCAAAACAGGGCTTGTGTATACGTAGTGCTACTGCAGTGTCATTTTCACATGGGAATCGGGAGGGCGGCGCTATGACACGGCGTCCGTGTACGTGTTTGGTATGTAAGGCACCCCACCAATCATCCTCCCTCGGTTCTTAATGAGTTTGGGCGAGCTCAAATAGTTGAAACAACCTCATCCAGCAGTAGGCCGACAGGCGATACAGGCAGGACCGGAAATCTGAGCAGTGGTGTTGATTTTAGCAATCAATCGTGACGCGTGTTTGTGACAAGAAGCAATCGGACGGTATGGGACTAGACTACATGTACACCCTACTCTCTCTGTCGTAATCATTCATGCTTCTACGCCCGCATTCATGTACGTACGTGGTATCTACGCCAGATATTTTCTCGCGAGATACCTTTCAACGGATTCGAAGTTGCAGACATCCGGGAGGCTGTGGTTAGCGGTGGGCGTCCCACGGTGAGAGAAACTCATGCATGCATGCCTTCAACGATGACCAGGCCAACTGAGCGATGCGAGGGCTGTAAATTAAAAAGGATATCGACGATTTTTTCTTGCTACATACACAATTACATGCTGAAAGCAAACTTGTCCACGTCAGGTACCTCGAGGAGACTGCCCGCGCGAAATTTCCAGTTTGATGTGTCGTTGTTGGAGCGAAAACCCTCAACAACGACCCGCCTTTGGAGAAATAGAGGAGATACTACAAGAGTTGCTGCTTTCGACGGCTGCAGCAACAGAACTGGAGGTAAACTGTCTACTACACGCTGTGCAGTAGTTGATACTTCCTGCTGCATGTTACTGCCAGGAACAGGCGACCGTAGGCGACACGAAACATGTACCTGGTATAAGAACCTCCTGTAACAAATCCATTGAAAGAAGTCACGAGTTGCTACAGCGTGGTATGATGAACCATGAATACATTGTGCAGTTAACAACCACACGAACCTCCACCACCCGACTACACCACAGTCATTGGGGAAGGGGTGGTGGTTGATGCGTGTTGCTCTCTTTGTAGCCAGAAGGGGGGGCTGCATCATGATACGGATTTTTCTGTCTCAGTGAAATCTGTACCACATCGGTGCCATAATGCAAGGGCAGTAGGAAACTGTCTTTTCGGTTATCCTTGCCTCATCGAACAGTCTCTTGCGCACCCTCGTACAGGGAACAGAGACCACGGGAGATTGCCTAGACGACTTGCTCCGGAAATAGGGCAGTGAATTCGACACGCGGCCATCGGCGAACGACGAAGACTATTCCAGCCGCTATCGTAGATCGCATCGCAAGGAAACAGCAGGACTTTCAAGATGACCTAGATAGCTGGGGGGCAAGAGAAGGTGCTGCGTGTTGCACCCGGGCTCAGCCAGCTCTCTCAACGCTAGAATGATCGCCTGGTGCAGTGTGGTTCAAGACATGCTGCCTACACGAGACCGACAGCTCACGGGGCACCAAAGATATAAAAGTAGGAAGTTAAATGATGTTCCAACAGAGTAAGAAAAGTAATCCGCTCTCTACAGCGTGGCGTCTTCCCGTGACCTGGCAAATTCTATGTGACTGCCAACACTAAGAACTAACTCTCCGCCACGTCAACAAGTACCGCGTGAACGGTTCAGACTTTGGTGGAGCAACAACATGTACATCGATTCCATAGCTACTGCATGTGCCAACGTGTCTGCTACTAAATAACTAAATAACGACAAACCCAACCCAATATTACAAACAAAGATTGCATATAATTTCAAAGAGAAGCTCGCAGAAGGTCTAAGTCAAAGAGGCATAACCCCCTCACGCATAGGAAACTTCGCTGTACATCCAACAGAGCAAGCTCACAACATATTTTTCAGCAGGTTCATAAACTGTCCAGCATGAGGAGGAAACAAAGAGATAGCCACACGCAAAATAAAAAACAGTCTCCTATGTCGGTGGGAACACAACCGAGAGGCAAAAGGCTTAGACCTTGTGAACCATGTCATCGTAAAACATGATCTTGTTCTCGTCATCTAGGGTCGATAGGACAGCCTTGAGCTCTGCTCGTGTGAAGTTTGTGCCGGCCGTGGAGGCGGCATTTGTCGCTGACAGCAGGTCGCCGAGAGACATTTGGTCTTTTTCTTGCATGACCTCCAGCACCAACTGCGTCGCAGTCTGCGTACGCGCCGCCGGATCGACATTCTGGTCACCGCGCGTTGCTCTGCTTGTTGCACCAGCCACGTCTTGGCTGCTTGTCCGGCGGCGCTTGGCGCCCTATTATCGCACAAAGGACATGCAGCGCAAGGTCACAGTAGTTAGTTATCGGGAGGAGGACGTGCCAAGCATACTGTACGAGCAACTTTACTGCGGCTCGCGTGCTGGCCTTTGCATCTCACATCGGGCCAGAAATCAGTACGCGAAACACAGGCGCATTGTAGGTCATTCAGGCGACAGCAATACACAGCTATGGGTGGTCATCATGTATGGAAAGAAAACGCCGGACGGCAACAGGATCTCTGTCAAGGGTCGCCTGGTAGTTTTTCCTTCCGTGGTAAGCACACACAGAGCACTTGTACAACACCAGCAAACCGGTGAGCGTACGATACAGGAAACACTTCCCAATAAGCGCCATTCGAAACGATCAGGGACGGTGGATAGGTGTTCACGTTTGGCTGATTCCCTGCGCGAGAAAAATAGTGCACAAAAGAAGCTCATCTCGAATGATCGCACTACGGAAGCACGCAAAAAAAAAAACACCACGTCTCACAGGTCTAGCATCGTCGTCCTTGGCTCCTCGGTCCTCGTGCTGGTTTTGTTGTTGGCTGCTTGTCTGGAGCGTGTCGTCTCTGTCCCGGCTGTTCTCATCATGCTGTTCGTCCAGGGAAGCGGCGGTCTCGTGGTAGAGAGCAAAGCTCATCAAGTTCATTGCCTTGGCTGCGTCTGCTTCTTCGACCTTGTGGCTAAGGCGTGCCTTGGCGTGAGCTGACGCCAGACGGATCAACGTCTCGAGAGAACGTGCGGTCACTGGAAGGCTTCGGTTGTTTCCCTGTGTTCACACCACGCACAGCAGTTGAAAGAAGTGTACAGGTGTGTTGAACGCCATATAACCATAACCGGTCTTCCACCGTAAATCGTTACAAGTCCCACGTAAGAATTTCCGGTCTTTCACCGCAATCAGTAACTGCCGCATGACAAGAAAATCTTGAAGCAGTTACGACGGATGGTGAAGCATAGTCAAGCCATCTTGAAAGCGTCAGTTGGGCATCGCAAAATTAAAGTACACTTTGATCACCTTTACGTACTGCTTTAAGGTCCTGTGGTCTACCAATCGCATCGACTCGATCGGACTACCTCATCTCCTAACTCACCTGCTTGCTTCGGAGTGAAGCATATGCACTCGCGATGTGCTCACGGGCGTCTTCGGTTAGCTCTGGGTGGATGCGGTGTTTGCTGTAGTGCAAGAATTTCTTGAGGAACTGAATTTAGACATAGTTGTGGGCGTGCAAAACAAGCGGGGGGTGGAAACGTCACACGCGCAGGATGACAGCATAGTCTACACGCCGATGGCCCGGGAAAATGAAATCACCTCCACGCCTTTCACACAAGATGGTTATAGCGACGTCGCGGTACCACTGCCATGATAGCCCTGTTTATCGGAAATCTATCGCGATCGTGACCTATCAAAGCAGTCGGCGCGGACCTCTGGGTGCCTACACTTAGTGTTGCCGAATAGCTCAGGCGGTATCATGTACTATACCTTCTGGCACACGAGTTCCTCGTGCGTGTTCCTAGATGCCCGAAGAAGCGGATGGTGCTTCTCCCAAACCTGCAAACACAACAACGTATCCCAACACGCGCAGAGTATTAGTGCGTGGAAGTGTTCATGACCTGTGACTCTTCGGATTCGAACCTAGGCCTCTTTTCTGTCTGACAAACTCTTTGTATTGCACTACTGTCGTGAAGAAACGGAGTCGAAGGTAGGAAGAGAGACAAAGAGGATTACGCCGCGATGCGATACCTGCGCGGCTTCCTCTGGCGACTCCGTCTGCTCTTGTTCGCCAGCTGCTTCCGCGGATGACCCATTGAGTTGCTCGGGTTCCATGTCCGAGCCAGGTTTGCGGAAGCGGTGCCCACGCAGGACATGCTCGCTGATCGCACGGTCGTTTTCTGCGTCAAGCTGCACAACGGTGGAGTTGGCGTTCAGACTGGTCAAATGCATGGCCCCGCCACACACAGTCAATGACACCAGAAACAAACATGTGCCCGCACAAGCGCACACAAAAAAATTGTGCCTGGACGCACACTCCGCTTTTTTCATTTTGACCCACCAAGGGGGGGGGGGGGTGTACTCATAGTCGTGCATGCCGTAGTCGTTAGACCATTGACCTCGCATCCCTACAAATCCGGGACGGAGCACGCCGGGGGCGGGGGGGGTAGAACGTACTTCGTACTTACTTTTATGTATACACTAAACGTCGTATATGCCTCTCAATAAAATAGACTTCAACACTGCCATACCAGCACTACACCATAACGAACGGTCACGCAGAATAACGGCCTTATTAGCAGAAAGATGATCCACCGGGGATAGATGTATATTATAGGATTCATTATGCCTGGTGTACTGTCCATATATACTTTGGGGTCATATCGGGTTGAGTGTACATATAACGAAAGGTGATCTGCGACGACGATGGTCTCCCATCCACTGCGGAGGCTCGACGTGCGAGAGGACGAGCTGGCCATACGCCCCTCCGGTTAATATACTTACATACATACGTTGCCAGAACGGGACAATAAGTGCTTAGAAAGCAAGCCCTTCTTCTACCGTAGGTTGCATAAGATATCACACCCCCTGGACCGATTTTCAAAGCTCGATGACTCCACGATGATATGTTTTCGGAAAGCTCTCGACGAGACGGTTCCAATGCCGCCATTCTCGGCGCCGCCACTGCTTTTCCTGTCGAATAATCGAGCTTCGAAGATCGGTCCAGGGGGTGTGATATCATACATCATGCAACATACGGTACGAGTTGGTCTATGCTGTATGTACTCCGGAACAAAAATCTCTTTACTATGCACGACTAGTCTATACTATGCAGGACAGACAGGTACGCGCTGTACGTAAAGATATGTTTATTGGCCAAGATATTGGCACTGGTTTTTGCTCTATCAAGTTATGATTCGTTTTAATGAACAACATGTTGCTGATCTACTGACGTCAAAAAGGCTCCGAAACACCAGTTTTGTCTGTCTGGTTTGAGAAAGAAAAAAAAAAATCGGCCGGCTGAGGGGTGGGGGTAGCGTGGGTCCAGGAACTTTTTTTTCGTGTACCCTTGGCCCGAAAGTCTAGAGGCGTGGATAAGACTATTTCGCACACGATCGGAAAGTATTCCACAGGGCAGTGACGACGGTTAACCCGGCGGTTGAGAGGTTGAGCTCTAAGCCCTTTGTACACACGGTGCAGTAAAAGGCGTACCGGACTACGCCGTATGACGCATTCGAGGGAGGCAATTCACGGGCTTCTTCGCCCTGAAAGCCTTTGTATTATCGGACACTGGCGGGGGGTGTGACTTCTCCAGCACCCCCGGCATGTGAGCTGATCAAAAGCCGGCTCTGCGTGTGCACAGAATATTTCAAATGCCAAACGTTAGAATAAGTCGAGAAGAGGCACCCCACAGCTCCTCACGAGCAACCGAACCAACCAATCCAGCGCGTTCTGGCGTGCGTGAGGGCGTCGGGTGCACGTATAGTATTGTATACAGTAGTCTACCGCAGCCAGCTTCAGAGGTGCCTCGGTTACTTTTGAGGATCTATAAAAGCAGCCCAATAATCGAGCCGGAAAACCGGATCGGTCGGCGCCCTTGCACCAGGCTTTTTCTCCGATCATGAGACGGTTTCACGGTGACATCGCGTCTGCCTAAAAGCTACAGTTGCTACAACAAAATGGAGGTATAGTGAAAGGCAGCGAGCCTCTTGGTCTGAAGTCGTTTGTGAATTTTCGCTGGGTGTTTACAAATCCCGGCGGTTTTCCTAACTCTTCGAAATGAAGCCGCATATATGCAATCAATGTGTGCATATTCCGAGACAGACGACACCCTAGAATACAACAAACAAGTCACAGCCAGCAGTTCTGTCCGGCAATAACGAACTAGCCAATGCAGCCAGCCAACGCAGCTAAATAGACGAATCCATCTCCATGCCGGTATCGAGTTACATTGGGAATGGATAGCGGGGGATAAGATACTATGCATGCAACGTCGGTCAGAGTATAACCCTTTACTCAAGGCGCTCTGGTCTCGTGCTTCTAAGCTGTTCTGTAAACATGACACAGCTCTACGGAGACGCGCTGTAGGTGCAGCGGGAGTGGATGATATTCGTTCGACTTACCTGGTCAAGAACCACGAAGAGCAGGTCGAACCGGGATAACAGCGAGTCTGGGAGGCCGATGTTTTCCTGGAACGACAGCAAAATTGAAACGTTCAGGTCACCTCGCGCACAGCGTTGTACGGTGCAACGCACCACACAAGAAGAGCGCGCAAATATCCATCAAACGAAGCTGTTGAGGCGGCAGCACTGCTGAGGTGGCCCATACCGTAGTCGCTGTTTGTATGTAGTCCCCGTTGATTTGGTCAGGGGAAGGTTAAGGTTGTGTACCCAACGAGGGTGGGATCTCCAAAAAATAGGCAGTACCTCGGGCGGAAGAGTCTTCTGAGACGAGGTCATAAAACTACTATAGTACCGCTTTGAGCAGACAATACCCACCGCTCTCCAGCACCTGCGAGCACGCAAGCCTTACTGAGAAAAAGATCGGACAGGAGCTTTCCACGGCGCGCAGTCTTTGATATGATTTCCACAAAATAAAACTTCCCATCCCGACAAACATTCTCCCCCTGGAGCCGACTCGAGTGATTGCTGCATATTGAGAAAGCAGCTGTCATCCCACACACGGATAGGCACAACAGGACTGTCACCATGCCTTCCTTCTACTGGAAATGTAGCCCGAGCCAATGAACCATGGTATCTGCAAGTCTCACCTGGGGGCGCTTGGTCTTGTCGTACTGACCGTACACAGGATTGGCTGCCGCCACTACACTACAGCGAGCGTTGAGGCTGGCATGGATGCCTGCTTTGGCGATAGTCACTGTCTGCTGCTCCATAACCTGAAGCGGACGAACCGAATCCAAGCATAATCTTTATTCGGGGGTTAGCGCCGCTCCAACTATACACTGCTGTACACACACACGTTGGATGGACGCCTGCTGTGAGTGCGCATACACACAAGCCATGAAGACCGTTTATATTCCACTATAATACGTGTTGGTCAGGCTGGGGGGCAAGATGGAAACAGGAGTAAGCGCGGTGTTCACGGAAAACACGCGGCAACCAACAAAGCTGACGGGCTACGATCTCGCCCTACTATGCATGTACCTCGTGAATCGCGACGCGGTCCATTTCGCTCATTTTGTCGAACTCGTCGATACAAACCACACCGCGATCAGCAAGGACCATCGCCCCCGCCTCCAGCCGCCGCTCGCCTGTTTCCTGTTTTAATTTTAGATCAATCATGGTTGTCCTAGATCGGTTAGCAACATAGCGTAGTGTTTGGTTCGTGAAAACTGATGCAACCTCGTAGGATGTGAGATATTGAAAAACGAAAAATGAGGAAAATAGAAAAGTTGACGTAACTCGATACCCGCTCCTCGCCGGAGCCATAGCCGCATATTCTTGACATATTTATGTTACCAACAATCTATGTTTCATCGACCGATGCTTGGGCGGTGAATTGCTGAACATTCCGGGTCTACCTCTTCGCCTCTTTGCTGCCGGGTGCACACACCTTGTCAGTCGTTACAGCTGCTGTCAACCCAACGCCACTTGAGCCACGCCCAGAGGTATTGATGGCCAGCGGTGCCTGAAGAGGTATACAATAGTCGTGCACGGGTCCGGCAATGTCGAACGAGAATGATTGTTTACCGTTTACAAGTACGGGTGTCATCACTGCGCAGGAAGAACAACAATTAAACCGAATTCAAGAGGGTCCATCCATGCACTGACCGTGTTGAGCACGCAGCGAAGCAGCTGCGATTTTGCAGTAGAAGGGTCGCCAACCATCATGAGGTTGATGTCTCCGCGAAGATGCGTACCGTTGGCAAGGTTTTTCTCCTCGCCGCCCTGCACAAACGCCCGTGCAACAGGAAACAACGGTGGGTGAGATTGCAGACTCCCTACAACAGGAGCACGTGTTCAACGTTGGCAGCCGCAAATGTACCGCGGGCTTACAACAATACATAGCATGATACAGATCAAGATGGTATTCTTCGGTCAGACAAAAAAATATCATCGCTTTCAAGGTGCGTCGAATTCCGGTCCCAAAGCCAACAAACGCCTGACAGTATGTATGTACCGCTCTTTATCGTGTCATGTAAGGCCACTGCCGTGCAATCTTCCCACAGCAGCAGCATTGTAAGTCTGGTGATATCACGACTTTCAGTGGTCGTCTGGTCCTAAGCCCGGCAGAGAAAAGCGGACAAGAGGAGGTGTGCATGAAACATTAACATTGCGAGCGGCTGGGACCAATAGCCCACCTGCAGAGACATTAAACAACAATCACAGTTGTGAGCTTGTTTAAGGCTTCTTGACCCTCGACGATATCAGTCTACCCTGCCGAAAAGACTAGCTGCAGGTCGTGTTCTTCGCTACTATGCATAAAAGCAACAAATACCGACGCCGATGGATCCTTCCTCCATGCCAACGATTGACTTACCAACAGCTGGAGCACCAGGGCCTTCTTGATGTGGTCATGGCCGTAGATCGATGGCGCCAAGCTCTTGGCAAGGAGCTCCAGCACATCGTCGCGTTCGGCAATCTCTCGAATGTTCTTGATGTCGGTCGGAGTCATTTGAACACTGCACAGGTCCACATTGCATCGGAATCGGAAAGACGCCTGTGGTCACCGATGCCACTTCTCACTTACTCCGTTGAACTTCTTCCGAGTTTCGCGGCCTTTGAGGCTGTTTCGAAGCTTGGACTTTTCAAAGCCGATTTGTCGGTAAGAGGAAAGGTATTGTACGAATGGATTGCGAGCAGGCTTATTGGAGAATCAAGGCGTACCTGCCCACGTCCTTGCCAAGGATGGCCACGTTGTTGGCAATGATGAGTGTGCGGAATACACCAGACGTACTCCCGTTGGACGCTCCTCCGATGGCCCGGTACATCCCGGTAATCTGTCAAAATGACGAGTGAGGAGCCTTGAATTATACTGTGCGTATTTCCACCAGCACATAGCAAAAAAAGCCGTGAGGCAAGCAGTCTCCTTCACCCGAGTGAATTCGCTGTTTGGGTTAGGTGAGACGCTCATCGCCATTCGCGATGAGTTGATCGCAAATATTGGCAAGAGCTGACAGCTTCAGCCTAAGGGGAGTACTACGGTATTTGAGAATAGGGATGTTTAGACTAGTTTGTCGGCCTATTTCGGCGATGCGCTGACCTGCACCCTGTCGCCTGGCTTTACTCTGTCCACGAGATCGTCATCCAATATCACGTCCACGGACCTAGGAAGCTGGCCGAGGGGAGCTCGCTCGGGCATTTCCTGCCATAGCAAACACCGAAGCAGGATAGGCAACGTGGAGACTCGAGAGTACACCGAACAGCAGCGCGTCCCGCTGGGCTACATTTCGGTCCGGTCAAAAACTGTATTTGTAGCACCTCATGGCTGCTGAGCTGGGGTAGTGATAGTGAGCACGCAGACCGGTTAAAAAGTGATAGAACGACACTAATGGGACATCGACAACAACCTTCATGTAGCAGCAGCGTGCATTGGTTGGTATGGTTGGGTGGCATCGGCCGTCATGTGTCGTGTACCTGAATGGTGACGGTCTGGTGGTCTTTGAAACGGCAAAGACCGTATTCCGTTTCCAATGGATGACCCTCGGCATCCTTGGTCGGGTAGAGGGTGGTAGTAGGCAAATTTTCTCTGCGCATGGAATTTGGCGTGGACATGGATGGAAAATGCAGGTAAATGACGAGTACAGTGTACGGGACGAACCTAAGAGCCGGAGAAACGTCCACGACGGTCGACATGTGTACCTGTAGAGCAATCCCAGCAGAGGCATCGCACTCATATCATCATGCCATGTCGTATGTAGATCTTGCGTGCCGGCGACGGGTGTTACGGCTGATTTCTTAGACAACAAGGATTGTCCCCGCAACCCGCCGATGTGCTATAACAAGACATCGAAACGCAAAGAAAAAGCCAGCTTCGCTAATAAAGGTAACCGTGTGTGGTGATCAAAACGCAAATGCCAGATACATGCATCCTTGTCCGTGTCCGGGGAAGCTCACCTGCCGCCAGCGTCCAACCCAAGCTCCACTGCTGTGCTGTCTCTGTACTCGCGACTCGTGAAGCTCTGGTTGGATGGATTGAAGTGAACAGACTTCACCAGCTTCGGTCGTACGCTGGTGCACTTTGTCACGATGCCCTCCACACAAACCAAGGTGCGTAAGTACGATGCAAGGAGTCCTCGCGGGCTGACGTGTTGGTGTCCGAAGCTGCGGAGGGCATACATACAGGGTGGGCGCGTCGAGCATCGCGGTGCTGGGCGTACACCGCAGTTGACCCTGATAAAAACTATATCAACCTGCCTACATTTGACTGTTATACATTTCACCGACAGAATCTGGTCACCCCGACACCAGAGGTGGCCCCTATTATTTCACACAAAACTTCCAAGCCAACCGCGACTTCAGTTGGATGTGGGCAGCATCGCGGCAAGGCCGGTTGGGAACAAGTGCATTTCATGGCGCGAGCGATGTGCTTTGCGCACAAGGAGTTGTCTACAATACAAATATGACATCAACACCTGCCTGGCTTGATGTTGCCATGCGATTGTGAGGGGTTGTTGCGCGAACGCAATATGTTTTCTCATAGCTCACCCATCGCCATGTAAACTTACCTGCTGTAGCACGCAATCACGGGTTCTTGGAGCATTCCGACGCTTGGCACTAGCGCCAGCTCAGATTTCGCAATACCTCTCACCTTCCCTCGAATCCAATAAGAATGTCTCTATCCTTGAGCGTCTTGATGAATGCAGGATCCATCGCTAGAGCCACGTCGCGCGCAGCCTCACGCAGTGCGTACATGTATGGTGCTGGCCGGCGCATGATGCGGCCAGCGAGGTCGCCGCGCCCGTCTGATCGTAGGTGGTTGAGGTCGACCACAAGTCTAAGATGCTTGGCGCCTTTTAAGGCGTTGATACGATCCCTGTTGGTTGGTAGAATGGGGGGTGTACACGTCATGAATAAGTTCATCGGCCCATCGATCGAAAAGGACGGGTACTGTAGTGAGCATCATGCGCTACGCATACTCGCGCAAAAGTCCACCTGGTTTCGTATTCCACAAAGGGAGGGATGATGCAACCCCCTTGGAATACTTCTTGACAAAACTCTTTTCCTTTTCCCAAGTCCCCCAAGAGGGCTCGTGGAATGCATTGCAGAATGCACTGCAGAATGCAACGCAGGTGACCCAACTGCGGGAGCCCTCTGAGAGCCGAAGGAGGTTACCTATGCAACGTGTTTTGTGTGGCCTAAACTTTTGTCAAACACCATAAGAGCACGCCAATCCATAACAACGACACGTTCGTTCTGCAACAAACAACAAAGAGTTGAATGTACTCACCAGCTCGGTACGCGTCTGGCACAGCGAGTGTTACAGGGCAATTTTCAATTTCCCTCTCGGTATCGTACAAACATGAAAAGAGAATAACACAACGGTCTAAAGAGGGGTGGGGCAGGGTATGGTTGCTTGCTGTGCACTCTACGACAGCAGCCGGCCTGCTCTTTAGACACTGAAAATCAGGCTGAGCTTGAGGTTCTCATGTCAATTTATGGCGAAATCGATAACGTTTAGGGTAGCACTCGATGCTGAACGCTGAGGTCCCACACTTGGTGTTATTTTCAAAATATCAGCCTGGTTTTCATACAGCAGAGCTTTGTGAACTACGGAGTTTCCCCCCGGGGAGGGGATCGTTTTCTTTTCTGAAACCAACCCCCCCGGGGGGAAATTGACGTACCGCGGGGGGTTAGTTCTTTTTTTCCAACGCTACCCTGGGGGGAAGCCCCCGACCGGGGGGTTGTGCAAAAAAATGATGGTCCACACAACCACACACACAGAGAGTGGCGAAACTGAGATGGATAAGGTTTTACGAGCAAGGTTTCAACAAGCAGAGGGAGGAGTAATGTAAGAGCAACGAAGGCGAAGAGAAAAAAAACAGGAAGAGGTACCATTGCCTAAGCTCATGCACAAGAATTCGCAGTTTGTCCGCAGGAATAAGCTATTTTTATGGTTCGGTTCTACCTTGAGTTGTGAGATCCCAAAATGAATACGATTATTTTTTTCCTTTGTGCGCAAGGTTTCGTCAGCATGCTGTAGGTACCTTTCAGCCTACCAGGGATGATAAATGCAAGAAAAAGACAAGAAAACGAAAACATTTCATCCATAAAACAACGGTGAGGGCCAAGTGACAAACGGTACACGTAAGTCTCGCTCGAAGCGTAGATCTGCAAACGATTTTCCGTCCCACATCATGTTTTCTATGCTCCGCGATGCAACAAAATCGACCCAGATAATAAGGGAAATACACCCCCCCCGGGGGGACCTCGTGGAAACTGGTACCCCGGGGGGAAATTGAAGTACTAGGGCGGGAAAACTCCGTACTTTACGGTATGCACCAGCATCTTAAACCTCGATATCAGTGGCAACCTCCCTTTCAACAAGCACTGAAAACCAATCAATAGGGTCCATGAAGGACAATACAAGCGAAAGAGACACACACAGGCCTACTAATCGAAACCGGAGGCCGTGCGGGGGGCTCTAATTTCTAATTTCCATATAATCGCGTAAGGGGCACCGTGGATAGAAACCCCTCTGCAATGGGGGGGAATGACTTGTTTTCGTTAACGAAGCCCCCCACACTAAGTACTATATCAAGACGATATCGAAACTGCCCTCCTGGGCTCCTGGGAAGGGGGTGGGGTCTATGTGTCCGGATTTTATTTTTTGTACCCTTGGTGCATGCGTGGTATCTTGAGACACAGGAGCTATATCAGCTGCCATAAACCATAAATACAGCATTCGAGTATTCACACACGTGTTCAGCACGAAGCCAGTCCGTGTGACCTACCAGTAGGCCTGGAAACTGCTGTGCTACTCTGTGTTGCGTGTCAATCTATCTGCATGAAAAAAAAGAAGAACCTACAGGTATGGTACAGGCGTGCGCTGCTGCTGCTCTTCTTGCTTGCGTACGAAGTATGTCTAACGGCCAATGATGCCCCATCAGTCAACCATCAATATCCGGGTATCTGGTGGTCTCGAATCACCCCAGAACCATCCACGACTACTGTTGCAGTACAGATGGGTGCATATACCAGACGTCGTTAGCAGAGAGGTGCGTTGACGGAGTTGGCAGGCACACCCGGGGTGTCTTTCCGCTGCTGCTGCACACACAAAAAAATAAGTACCAAACGTCCGTTGGCAATTTGTTGTCTACGGCGGCAGGTAAAGTTTTTAAGTTTTTCCCCACCAACCGGCAGCACAATCATACTTGGCAAATACACGAAGCACGAGAACGCAGACGAAGTCGTCGCAGAACAGAAGGATGAACGCCGATCGCCAAAAGCAGTTAAATCTCGACGCTTGGACACAAGCAGCAACGAGACCAAGAGACAGGCGGGGGCAACACAGATGCCACAAATTCAAAAAACATAACGGGCGGCGCTCTCTACACCGGAGGCCGTCGGGAGGAAAGCTAAAACACACCTATATATCCCATCCTGCACGTCGGAGTCAAGCCACTCGGTGAACAGGCCCTTCAGCTGGTTGAGGTCCACGTTGTCTCCTTCAACGGGGAGTCCCTCGCCGGAGTCAAACGCATCCGCCATCGTCTGATTCGCGCGGAATGTATGCTGGTTGACCAGGGAAAAGTGCTCTTTCTCGACCAAGAGGCCTTTTCTTGTTTAGAAGTGTTAACTCGTGTGTCGTTTTCCAGCGCTTGAGAGTCCCTGGTTGACCCGGATGCGTCTGTTCCTTCCTACAGCCGGCAGAGAGCTATATAGGTTATGTGTATGCTATATGGATGCACGGTCAACTTACACCAACTCGCAGGCTGAGATTGGGGGGGGCTTGATACTTTTACAGACCAGAGAACCCCCAACTTCGTCCTGGATCTTATTGGATCTTGGATCTTGGACCGCATCGTCCGAATCAAACCGCTGGATTGTCGTGTCTCTTGCACAACTTCAGCGGGACCGACAGCAGCACACGTTTCTAAATGTATGCAGATTACAATTATCTACAAGGTGCGGCAGTACAACGTCGCCGCCACGAGGCTTTTTTTATTTTTTTCCTCAAGTCTCTGTGCCGATTGTAGCGGACACGACTGGCTCTGGGGTCGTTGTATGTACTACAGAGTAGAACCCAACACGCCCACGTGCCGACTTCCTCTCAACGTTTGAATTTGTGCAGAAGCGAACCAGACGAAAACCCTTCCCAAGCCTACAGTATGACTCCTTGAAAAGTGCTACCCTCTGCCCTTTCCGCAAAACAAAACGGCATGTCTAAATCCGTGGGGGGATTTCAGTACTGTAGTGTCTAAGCTCCCCCCCGGCTGTATCTCTGTCCACAAGGCACCAATCGAGGCAGGGCATGCACGACTGTGTGTTGCTGTGTTGTGGAGCTATCGCGAGATCCATCGTACAGCCGAAACGGTTCAGGTTTGGTGCAGCCATGGCTGATGGGCAAAATATATCTGTTGCCCCAACCTGCCCGCCGGGGGGGGATTATTAGTCGAAACACCCCCCCGGCTGTACCTCTGCCGACAAGGCACCCATAGAGACAGGACATGCACGACTGTGTTGCTGTATTGTGGGGCTATCGCGAGATCCATCGTACAACCGACGGGTTCTTTTCCTTGTTTCTTTTTTCGTCACTGTCGGCTGTTGTGTGGGGATGTGTTCGAGCGTCTGTCTGTGTTCAGACAGATTGTTTGTGTGGAATAACCGGCCGGTATGAAAAATGGCGTGTACCTTTTAGTTTGACTTGCACGTGGCAGGGACGACCGGGAGGCAACATGTTCGTGGCGGCGAACATACGTTCATCACCTATCTCTCAAAACGTTTACATTCCGTTTGTTTCGGTGTCGTTTACGATTGTTTGGGATTGTTTGTACGTTGTTATTTTGGCGAGCGAGACCAAACGAATGGGTCGTTTATCCCTGATGTGTACACATAGCGATCACAGCAAGCAGTGGTGCAGTGCTGCTGTGTGCTGTGTGTTGCATTTGCATCATCTTTACACTTCTGTACGTACGGTTCTTGTGTGGCCATCGGAGCCTTGAACAGAGGTGCGAGGTCCATGGGTGGGGTATTAGACACTCCCCCCCCCCCCCCCCCCCCCAGG